ATATGCGATTCTCTGATGCGCATCATCCACAAAAAGCGCTCAACTCCCACTAGGGTGGCTTCGTGGGGCATGAGCATTTCATCAAACCGGGTCATCACCTGGCGGCTCGGATCCGAAACTCGTTTTTGCGATGCTATGAATGAAACTCTCTAAATTAAATTCCCGCGCGCACTTTTCCGTCAGGTGAGCGTAGGCACCGGAGCGTGCCGTCCCTTTGCTCCGGAGTGTAAAATCGTGGGTTCTATCTCAAGCGAGGGGGGAGGTGGGGGTGGTGGCCCCGCGGTGCCGGCCAATGCGGTTAATCGCTGGGCTGCGACACCGAACAAGCCTTTAAAATAAAAAAGCACAGCGCGAGAAGTTACATTTACGAAAGCACCGCCGATGAGAGCATGGCTCGCGCGATGCTGAGCACCAGCAGACTCCACTACGCCTGTAGCGGTGGGGGGACGAGGGGGGGGGGGACGTGCATTGGTTCTGCGAAGCAGGTGCTGTGCCCGCGGTGCGTTTCGTCCGCCGTTCACGTCGAGCTTTGTGTACGTGCTCTTTTTTTAAAACTACATTCGGTCTTCACCGGAGCGCAATGAAAGTACAACTCCAGTAGGCACGGAGCTCCAAACGCCACTCAGAAAATTAATAATGCAAGGGTGTTGAAAACGACGTTTGTCACTCTGTTTTGTACAAAACACCCAACGCATATGGGAGGTTACCAGCCAATGGAGATAAAAGCAGATATCGTAGGGACCTTTTTGCCAGTATCAATACGATGAAAAAGAGGACTAGCCTTCACCCTGGCTGGCAGATTTCACCGAATCTGGCCGTAAGGAATCACTCGCATCTGTGACTCGCATTCATCGTTGCTTTGAAGTAGGTTTGAATGATAATTGTGTAATGTATCTAGAAAAGCCGCCACTGCGATGGGGCAACGCCTATTCCTCTTTTCATCGTAAAAACCTGAGTTTGGTCGTAGAGTGGGAAGGACGTCTGTGCCTGTTGGGGCAGATTTTTTTCAGACTCTGGGGCCAGAGTCCAGAATGACTCGTGACTTTCCAGAAACGGCCTTAAGTTCGGTTTTAGATGAGACTTGTCACAACTTCAAGAACGTGAGAAGGAGATGTGACATTTTTTGGGGGGAGGCAGTCGTGAAGTGAACATCGCAGCTTGCCGGACCGTATTACAAATGGCAAGAGTAAACGTCCTGCCCTCCGATCTTCAGTGCACCAGACACCGGGGCGAGGGGGGAGGCGTGAAAACGGCGCACGAGGCATGCACGATGAACGGCACATTCACGGGCAGCCGGCACTCGGCTTCCGCGGAACCGGCGGGGCGGACAAAGGTGAGTTGCGTAATCAATAAAGAGCTGTACCTGAGACAGGCACATACACGCACACACGCACACACGCACACACACGCACGCACACGCACGCACACAGACCTGCATGATTTGAAGGTAACACGTCAACTACACGACCGAGTGATCACTCTACCCCTGATTAAGAACTCAAAATAAAAACCAAAACTCTCATGCGTCAAACATTGCCTATTTCCACGTGCGTCAAAACGAGGAAATAAAACGATACACTTGCTTAAAACTTATAAAACGTGTAAAGCTAGCGAAGGCTTATAGATTATTCTACTAACAGAAAATATCAGCAAGTGACCACGGCTTGGAATTTCCCATGTGAAGTACACAGCACGGTGGAAACCAACGTTTAAATATAAAATGTTCAATATATACACCTATTTATACAGATTTTGCTTCCAAATTAAACCGATTCAATCGAGGGCTAGTTTCGTGCCGCACAGTCACCTGATGCGAATTGGATTTTAGGAGTTAAAAAAAAAGCCAAAACTCTTCAGACGTGGAATGCAACTGGAATCTACAACACTTGGATCAATATAGTCCCTCTGGTCTACCCAGTGTAAAATTACCTGCGATCGTCTCCTAAGGGTGCCAATGGCACCACACGACACGAACGGCAGATTTTCACCTAAACTGGCAGTAATTCATCACTCACACCTGTGACTCGCCATTCACGTTGCTTTGAAGCCGGTGGAATGATAACACTATGTAACACGTTTTTTCTTCCTGGGTAGTAAGTGTTATTTTTTCTAATTGCTTATGCCTCAAAAGTATAAACTTTGCTTTTGTGACCAGGACCTTATGTGAAGGAACGACACAAATGCACACGTTTTCTCATTGAAAATAGGTAAATTTCAAAATGTCACTGTCCTGATAATAGGGTTTTTCCCATTTTTTCTGGCAACAAAACTGAAACCTTTTTACGAGGATTCATGTCTGCATTAACCACAATACCTGGCAGTCAAAATGCAAACAAAAAACATACTATGATAATATATGCATTGTCCTTGAAACTGATTGGTCAACAATTGGTGCTCGACCAGATGTCGCCTTTTGGCGTCATCTGGTCGAGCACCAATTAGGTCGAGGCTCAAAAGAAAGCCGTCCCTTGGTGTGGACCAATCAGTTTCAAGTACAATGCATATATTATCATAGTATGTTTTTGGTTTGCATTTTGACTGCAGGTATTGTGGTTAATGCAGACATGAATCCTTGTAAAAAGGTTTCAGTTTTGTTGCCAGAAAAAAGGGGAAAAACCCTATTATTATATTTTGGCACTGGAAAAAAGAGGTCTAATGATGTAGATGATCACTGTCCTGGTCACAAAAGCAAAGTTTGTGGGGAATAATAGCCATGTTCTGTACTTTTGAGGCATAAGCAATTAAGAAATAACACTTACTACCCAGGAACAAAAATAATATATTTTAATTACTCAAATTTATCCAGAAGAGCCCCCACTATGTTTCAAGACTTTCTTTTTACGGTTCCTGAATTTGGACATTCGTCCAACACCATAAATGAAGCGTGCGGAAAATAAAACAAATGCACGCAGCACTCAAAAGGTCTGCGCTCGCGTTTTCACAACCCACTTGCCTGTACTCTCATCTCCTGGCCACCTCGCAGTCCAGCGTGTTTGGAAACTTCACGAATCTACGCAATGAGCCAACCTCTGCCTCCGAAGTGCTGCCGCGCCGCCGTGCCATCATCCGACCACCCGATATGTACGGCACATGCCATTAGAGGTATCAGATGACATAAATGCGCATCTCTACCCTGCTGAGCCCCCCTTTGTTAGGGCTCACCCGTACAACATCAGTTGGGCGGGCGGGGGGGGGGGGGATGTACAGAACCTTTTAGATAACCGTATCAATTTCTTGGGAATGCCATTTATTTATTTCCTTTGCAGAGACAGTCAAAAAGAAAAAGCCACCACTTGAAACGCGGCTCGCCGATTTTCTCAAAATAATCCTCTCGGTGCGCGCGTGCACGCACGTCTGCAAGGTGCCTCCAGGCCATCAGATTTCCTGTGAGAGTGCCGTGCGGGGTTCATTGCGTGGATCACTCGAAATCGTGCTGGGGTGGTGGTGGCGGTGGTGGTGGCGGTGGTGGTGGGGGTCACTAAAGGCGTTCAATTGCGAGCAGCTTAATCTCTTCTCGAGCGTGGGTGAGGGATGCAAGTCTAATCTGGTGGGGGGGGGGGGGGGGTGAGTTCACCACCTGTGTTAGAGGCTATCGCATATTTTTTTTTCCTCCCAATTGTCTTATTGTCAAGTGGCGCAGTGTGGCCAACACAGTTTGACGAGGGAGGGATGCGCCGGTTTCCTGCCCGTGCTCTCCACTCCAATTACACACCTAGCATGGGGCAATTGCAATCCCTTTGGCATACCACCATTATTCCGTTACTTGCCGAATTCGTAGTACATTTAGTACAATGCCACATGACTCATGCCATCCCGTTCCATGAGGTAGCCAACTGGTGCGTAATCGTGTACGGTGGGGCGTGGAGTGCGTGGCTTCGTTTCAGATGCCGTTACGCACAAATGTCCATTGTCTGCCGGTCTCTTTTCCCACGTGTCCATCGGACCGCGATTCGAGCTGGCGCTAGGCTCATCCGTTTTGAACAGCACACGGCTCTCGGGAGGCACGGTGGCTTCCATTCCACCCAGAGGCTGGGTTTGTTTTCACTGGATCAGAAAGAAAATAGGTCTCCTGCATTTCACTTTATCGCGCACTTTCAGATGCGTTTCTGTGGCCCTCTGGAACGCTCTTCCTTCCGATATTAGGAAGCCACCGGAGCTACGCAGTTTGAAATCTAGATTGAAAACATTACTTTGTCAGAACTGCTTTTTGTGTTTAATTTGTTGTCCTTCACCCCACACCTCCGATATGCACGGTTGGATAGGTATGGTGCGAAAGAAGTTCAACGTAAAAACATACAAACCGCCAGCCGATCAAACCCACTGTGTGCGTATTCCGCTGTGAGGAGGTGTTGATAGAATAATATTTTCATTTCAACCGTTCGCCCAGAGGGAATCTACAGCACGAAGGAGAATTTAGCCGTTCATCAGCTGTTGTACTTCTGCTATCGGCAGGGGAGAGTGCCGCGTGAATAACGGCAGCAATGCCGTTATTATTGCGGAGGTGGCGAGGTTAAAGAACGAAGAGGGCTTACGGGCAGGTGGGTGTTTGGGATTGCGACCGCTTCATGAAAAGTGGATATAAATTTTATTTTAGCGGCTTCTCTCGAGCATTTAGCCTGGGTCGCCGCGCTGTTGCAGAGAACGTATCTCACAATCAAAGGATCTCAAGGTGAAATCCAGCTCAGGTTCAACAAAGTTCATCGTCCCATCATAGCTGATAAAAAAGGGGCGGAAGTTCCACCACCGACTGGGGACCGCAAATGGAAAATGAGCAGCGGTCCGAACTCGTTATGGGGCCACAAAAAGTGTTCATATACCGATGGAAAATTTGCCTCTTGTGAGCCACGACCAAGGGCAATTGTCTTTAAAGCACTGGAGCTTGTGAGAGCTTTTAACTGCACCTACAAGGTGTGGTGACTTACTGCCAGGTTAGCCCGACTCCAACCCTATATCACCTGATCTCTTAAAGAGTCACAAAACCAGCACGATTGCATGTACACTTTCACCAGCAAGCAGTATTTGTTGTATTATTACAGTAGCGCACCGATACATAAACTCATAAAAAAATGAAAAACATCCCTTCACCAAGCGACGCATCTGTTAAGAACCCCAAACTCTATCGTGTACTTACGTTGCTAAAACTTTAAAACAGACACCCCCCAACGGTATTCGCACAAACACAATTGCTTTGGTAGCAATCTTGATTAACATGGTAGTTTTCTACACAACTTATAATACAGAAAAAAAAAACATCGACATTTTTTTTTATATTAAGCTTCAAAAAAATTATTCTAAGTTTTTTTTTGTCATTTTTTTTTTTCATTTTTTTCACGGGTCAGGATGGGATGGGGAGAGGTAAAAGTTAAGGTGTGTTCATCCGTGATCTGCGAAGTGAACAGAGAAAAGAAAGTTAAATATTATTAAGACACTGCCATCGTTTCACGATACCTTTCACTCCAGCGCTGTCCTACCAGACAGTCTCGCCCCTTCACCTGATGAAGGCCGCTTGTGTTGTGGCCGAAACGTCGTGAGAATATTATTGTGTTATTTTATTTTATCAATTTATTATTTTATTCTCATTCTACGTGACTTTACCGAAAGAACCAAAGAAGACAATTAGTGTGCTAATACACCCTTAGCCTCTGCACGTTCGCTTTGCCAAGTTTTACCTCGGCAAGAGAAGTCTTGTTCCTTTCATTAGCGATGAATTCCGCAAAACTTTTGCCGTTTAATTTCTGTTATGATCTCCCAAAAAAAACTTCAAAAGCAGTACACGTGTGCCAAGAATCATAGCTGTATTAAAGTCTCATTTTAATAGCACACGCTTAACAGAAGACGTACGACGGCTCGTACAGAACGCGATTATGGAAGTTGCTTTCAACTAATCTAGCAATCCCAGACTTTCCACAAGTGCTTGAATAGATATCACACGTTTAACAAGCAATACAATTGGCGATTATTGTGGCAATAAAGGCTGCGGTGATTCTTTTTTTTATATAAAGCTTTTGATGGCCGAGCATGTGAAATTCATGCTTGAGAATAAAGCGAAGCCGTTACAAGCCAATTCCGAATCTCTCTGTCCAAAGTTAAAAGGCACCAACCCTGCAATTTACTTGCTCGCGGACTCTACTCAAGTGAGCTCCAAGGGTATTTATCATACTATTCCATGCCAGTTAGATGTCTGGGGAGCGGTGGGATTGCCTACATGTTTGCACCACCGCACCTGACCTGCCAATCGACTAACAAGAAGGGGTTTTGAAATAAACTTTGTACGACTGTTTCAAATGCCACACTGGGAGATCCGATTGAACGGGCAGCCTTTTGGATGTTAAGTCAAGTGTGAGAGCCAACACACCATGGTAGCCTCCCTTCCCCTCCGTCTATCGAGCAGTGTCGAGAGTCCACAGGCTCTGGCCGAATAAATGTGCTTCATCGAAAGCCACATCCATCTCAAAGGCTAGCACAGGATAACCGTCAATACATCGAGCAAATGTTGTAACGCCAACCCTACAATCACTGCGAGTGAGCGAGCGAGCGAGCCTCACAGTCCAATCTGAGCACCAAGCCATAACTTGTCACAGCCGCAGTGCATTTCAGAGTTCACTTTGTAGCGGAAAACCCCGTTGCATTTATTTTATGTTTTTTTATTAACTTAATGGAATACCTTGGCCAAATTTCTGAAAGGGGGAAAAAAATCGAAATCAGGGCAAGATAAGAAGGGCGTTTAAAAAAAAGGGTACGGATCATATTACCGCCCTCCTTCCTCTGCATTGTTGCTTGACTCACGAAAACACTGATAACGGTCACTTCGTTTCCCGTGGGCAGATTTAACTTTTAAGTTTCCCACCGCCGCTTCCCCCGAAGATAATTAAAATAGCTCACAGACTGAAAACGCTGGAAAATATTAAATTACATCCAATTTCACGGCCCCGCAAGCTCATGCCAAAGCAACTTTTGAGATACGTAAGCTTAAAGCTGCACTGAAAAAGGAAAAACATACTGAATGTAAACCTAGGGCCTAAAGATTACCGAACCTCCGATTAACCACGGTTGGCTACGTATGGTGCGAAATACATTCAACATACGTACGTACGTTTGTCCATAACGGCTACACAATGACCCCTTCTGTCAAAAAACAGGGACCTCGTTCATACTTGCTAATAATTGGCATTTATCTGCTCACACCACTGCTGGTGGAAAGGTCTCCACTCAGGGGGGGGGGGGAGCTCTAGATGCTCTCTAGAGGGTACGTGGCCTACCCTTCCACGCTGGCCATAAATCTCGGAAGAGGTGGGAGTACCCACACTTCATCTCATCACACGTGACCTGCCGATTGACTAATGGTGGTGTACCTGAATAGAGGTGGTGGAATTTAAGAAACTTGCCCACGTAATATATACGAATATCATCCGCATTGGAATACAAATACTGTATCATCCGCATTGAAGGTACTACCATATAAGATTTCATTGGTAGCCAGATGAAGTAAACTTTAATTTTAAACAAGGCACCTGTGGCAGACACAAACACACTAACGAGGCTTAATTAATATACACTTCATAAACATATGAACTGCATTCACGTAATATTAACCCTTTCCCATTCCGATGATGTACGTGCACGTATGTATGTGATGTACGTCATCGGAACGGAGCCGGAAGAAAAACTAAAATAGAATAATTTGATCGGTGCCGAGGCTCCCACAAGGCAGTGCGGGAGGGCGTGTGCTATCATAGAGTGAGGGCGTGTTGCTACGGTTCTCCGCGTTGAGTGCAGTACAACGTCTTTAAAGACAATGGCGCTATGCCTCTCTCATTAAAATTAACGTCGATTCAGCGGTGAACGGGACACCACCCCACCGTGCAACTTGCAGACGTCTCAGAAACGGGAAAGAGGTGAAGCACAACTGAATGGATCCCTTTCGGGACTCTCTACAGGGTTCCCCATGAGGTGCTCGCCAAAGGAATTGGATCTCCCGGCGCTGCAGTTGAAATGACGATGTCAGTTTCTCCAATTCCACCCCCACCCCACCTGTCCCCCCTGCCTCTGTCCGCCCCATCAATATAAGTGGACGCAACATGGTTAGGTGATCGGCAGGTCGTGTGCAGTGGGCTTGTCAAGTGTGGCCACTCCCACATCTTCCATGATATTTGGCACAGCGTGGATGAGTAGGCCAAAAACAAACAAAAAAAACCCTTGTATTGGAGGCCTTCTGCCAGACAGTTATGCGAGAAAGAAATTGCAGGGCTACCCTTGCCTTGTTTATGCCCATGAGCGGTTCGATTTAATCTTCCATGTGGAGGAGGACGCACTTATTTTCCTGTGTTCGCCGAGGAAGCTAAAGTCGTCACGAGATTTCCCCAGGGGATAAATAATGTATTCCTGTTCTATACCTTTTCACTAAACGAATGAGTCGCAAGCAAAAAAAAACAACACGATAATGACATGCAACCGTGCAGCGTCGCGAAATTGTTACCTAAACCGCATTGTCAGAATTCAGTTTTTCCGTTTCTGGTTTCGAAGCGCCATTGGAACCTGGTGGCCTGTGGGAACAAAAACAAAAAACAAAAAGCAGAGTCAACGTTGCACGTCGTTTTAGTTATCATTCATCGCAAACTGTCAACACCTTTGAGTTTCTGTTGGCTCGCGGGCGGTTGCGCAGATATAATAATAGTGTTGCCCGTGCAGCCAATTGCAAAAGAGGTTGAAGGGAAAAGCCCTTTTCAAGGCAGATCAACCTGCTTCCAGCTGCACACTTGTCGGAAGTGTTGTCCACGTGTAGTGTTTGTTTGGTTAGTGTTACAGCATCGCCTTCATTGGGGTGCGATGTGTTGTCCTAGTGTTGCATTTTGTTTGGTTGAAGCCATAACATCGCTTTCATTACGGTGAGAAAACTCACACACAGCGCGTGCATGTGCTTTTTTTTACCCTTTGATTTTTACGATCGCCACCAAAACACCTGTCCTAATATTTGCGCGCTTGTTCAGAAACAGAATGATGAACTGGCTCCCACAGAGACCACATCTGTCATCACACCAGTATATATAAAAAACTCAAAACGGCGCTGCTGTCAATGCGATTGCTCAACTCTAATTTAAAAGTGCAATGAGCTTAATGTGAAAATCACACTTTCATTGACGTAATTCTTCATTCGCAACTGCGTTATCCTCGCCCATGCTGCAAAAGCGTGTGTGCAATTGACCACATTCTCTGCATTACAAACGCGGGAGGAAAATAATACCGGGAGAATCGGTGCGTCTGATAATCCAGAGCATACTGTGTAACTTTCATTCATTCACGCCTGCTTTGTTTCCGTGAACAAATGTAAGGTATTCTTAGCTCTTTCGATAGTCACGTTGAAGGGAAACAATAAAATAATAAAATATATATAAAACAATGTAAGGTGTTTAATCTGGCCTTAACCCAACCAGATGGTCTGTCATACATGTCTGTCTGTTGTATCAGTCTGTCTGCTGTACACGTATGTCCGCTGTACACATATGTCCGCTGTACACGTATGTCCGCTGTACACGTTTTTTTGTTGTACATGTCTGTCTGTTGTATCGGTCTGTCTGCAGCAAACGTCCGTCCGGTGAACATATGCAACCGTCTGTTGTACACGTCGAGGTGCAGAGGCTGTCTTACATGGAGCTCCTCTTCTGGCCGAAGCAAAACTTCTTGGTCTTGTACGACCAGTAGATGAAGCTGCCCAGCACGGCCACGAGCAGCAGCGACACGATGATGGCGATGATCACGCGGCCGTTGCCGCTGTCACTGACTGATCAGACGGCAACCGCACCGGACAGCAGGAAAGGGAGGAGAGGGCACACGCACACGCACACGTTAACACTAATTTTCTGTGCTGTTAGGGAGCACCTGTGCAGGCCGGAACGGCACATGAGGGGGTGGGTGGCCAGCACCACGCCCGCTTCGCCTTTGTCTCCACAGTGCTGATGTTAACACACCACACCAGGTACTCATTTGAGGCTGAGTCGACCTAGGGGATGCCCAGGACTGGTTCAGATAATCGTCACCGATGTTGGCCGTGAGTGGGAATCGAACTCGGGTCGCTGGGTTCGTAGTGCAGAGCGCTAACTGCTACACCACCGCTCCCCACAAAGACACACACATAGACACACTCACACTCTCAATACAAAGACAAATACCCCCCATCTTACCTGAACATACTATTGGGGAAAGTACTGTCAGCGAGCACCTATTAAGGTGCAACACGGCACACGAGGAGGTGGGTCGCCCACACCATGCCTGGCACACAACAAAGATAACAAAGATCCCCCATATAGCCTTAAGAGACTGTAGGGGCAAGTGCTGTTAGCGAGCACTTATGAAGGCCGGAACGGTACACGAGGGGGTGGGTGGCCAGCACCACGCCCGACCGCCTTTGTCTCCCTAGTGGCAATGTTTACACACCGCACCAGGTACTCATTTGAGGCTGAGTCGACCTAGGGGAGGCCCGGGACCAGTTCAGATAATCGTCACTGGTGTTGGCCGTGAGCGGGAATCGAACCCGGGTCGCCAGGTTCATAGCGCAGCGCGCTAACCGCTACACTATCGCTCCCCACCATGCCCGGCACACAGACACACACACACACACGATATCTCTAGCTCATCTGACCCTGGATCAGAAAATCAAAACGCAAAACCACCCCGAGCCAAACACATTCCCATCTCATATCAAGGGAAACCCGCATACACAACAACACGTCAGCCTCACAGCATCATCCGTCTCCGCAGCCCTGACACGGGCATAGGTCAAGGGCTGCCACCAACATTCTGAATGGCTCCTCGTTTTTTTTTTATGCGCATCGCATGCTGCGAATGCAACAGGGAGAGGCGACGGCAGTGATCGAGAATAATCCCGCGCTCGGGCTGTGTCTACTACGGCAGTGACCGCGCGGCGCGAGAGCCGCGATTGAAATTGACGCCCCGCAAATTTCTGCGACGGCCCGGATTTGCCCCCCCCCCCCCAGCACCTCCAAACCCAGCGTTCGGATTTTGAATCAGAGCGCACGGAAAGATCAAATTAAGGTGGCTCCGTGCCCCTTTCGCGAATGATTAACAAAAGCTCAACGAATTGTCAATAACACTGCCCTAAAAAGGAACAACAACGCATTTGATAGGTCGTTTTTTGGCCATTGGGTCCTTTTTTCACACCTAATGCGGGATGTGCTATAAAGAATGGCAGGCTACCCGAAGCGTCAACGAGCTGCTTGCAATGAAAGGCCAAATGATAACCGTCGTTAACGTCGCTCGAAATAATACGAGTGAACAGCGTGAGCAAATGAGTGTCTTTCCACGTAAAAAAAAATATAAAAGCATATTTCACGCACCCCAATAGCCATAATTTCAGTGACGTTGCTTGAACGCAAGCAAACTCTGCGGCTCTTCAGTCTCTTGGCTCAAGCGAGGCTGACCCCAGCTTTGCTCGTTTCGAGCCAACGCTGCTGAAATTGCGCACTCCCAGAAGGCCGTGTGAGACTAATAGGATGTGTATTCTGTGGTTTAAATATTTAATGTGCTTTGAGGAAGGGGGCCGCTGCTAAGAAATGTGACCGAGTATTATCGACAGATTTGTTGAGTTTTTTTGTTGTTGTTTGTTTGTTTGTGCACCACTGCCAACGCAGAATCATAAATACAACTGTTTGACTTCCACGGATGACTCACTGATTGCACAAGGATACGTGAGCAGAAGTGGTTAATGTCAATTAAAAGAGCCTTTCTTGAAATAATCCTAAAAATGTAAAAAAAATTCTCAAATGAATCTCTATGCTAAGGGCAACATGTAAACTCTATTTGATGTTTTATTCGTACCTTCGTCCAACATTATCTCTTTAACTCGCACAATTATGAACATGACCGCCCTCTCAAAATCACATTCACAAAAAGTTACAAATTTGCCCGCAAAGTGCGTCAAACAAAATATGAAAAATTTGGCCGGCCTGTTAAACTACGTTGAGTTTTAAGCAACGGAAATTGATTTAAGTGCTTAAAGTACGCTGTTGAAAAGCGTACAATGGCCGATTAATGCTTGCTCAAGATTATACTAAATGTCGTGGGAAGAATTATTGGAAATTAAACGATAAAAAAAATGTTTTCTTCATAACGACAAGTGGCAGGCAATCGTGTGACTGTGATGCAGTGGAATAATTGCCTCGTATCTGCCACGAGCCGCTGAAATGCGCGAGCAAAACTAAATGCACATGAAACTGTCGCGTCCAATAATCAAGCCCAGCACAAAATGTTCATTTTCTGGGCAATAGAATTGCAGCAACAACAAAGAGGACCATCAGTTATCTTAATTAAAATATGACAATTTAACCTTTCTTTCTGTTGGGAGAAAAATGAACAAAATTTTACAAAAGCAAGTCAATATTTTCCCACAATGCCTGGCGAGACACTTTTTTTTATATAACCGTTCTCAACCAATACAATTTAGTTTGAAATATTACTGAAGCATAAAGGCACCTCCAGAGGCGATATCACATCGTTACAGATAAAAAAGGGCATTTATTGAGTCTGGGATAAGCCACATGCCTATGTTCAGTACATTTGTGTTTAAAGAATTGAATAGAATAATTCAAAAGCAATAGGAAACTTTAGATATATAGTCTTAGTTAAAGGATGTGACAGGTCGCTGCAAAGCTGATGTGGCAGCATCAGGCAACTCGTGCGCGAAGCGAGAGTGCAGCTGCACGGAGCGGTCTTTGAGTACTTTCCAACGCGACGGCAAACAGCGCCGTGTGGGACATCGGCGGCGTTTTTCAATTGTGTTCATGCCGAAGGAAAGTATAACTGCAGAGTTTTGCGAAGGCAGGAGCGGGTTGCGAGTAGCGCGAAACTTTACAAACGGACGAGAGTCAGCGAAGAGTGACGGACCAGGGGTCGTCAACCAAAGTAACCAGAAGAGACATTTTTTTTCGAATTTGGTAAAACAACTCAATATTTCAAGAGCCCCCAGTGCACCTCAACATGAGACGGTGGTCTCCTTAATAAATAACGTCACGAAGCGGCCCTTAAATAGCCGCACGCGGCTCTGGAGCTGCAGGTTGCCGACTGTTGCCCAAGGTCAACTGGACTCCCGAGGCTTAGTGCGGCCGGGAAGCGTATTATTAAATAATACACATTACAATTCCTTATAGGGGAAACACGTACTAATTAACGGATTACTAACATAGCATATAATCACTAACACACATTACAACTAATTACTAATCTACAACTCATTACTAATCATAACCATTGACTGATTACTAATCGATTATATAATTACAATACCCCCCCCCTCCGCCTCAAATCACTGCACCTGAATGAGTTAAATGATGACGTCACCCTGCTGCTCTATTTAAGAGCGGGAGCAAGCGAGGGCTTTACCATTCTGACGAATTGCCCGATGATGCTGGATGTAATTACCAGCGAAACGTCGTACTCAAACTGTAAATGTTGTGGATTCACTCTTCAACACACCGGTGGGCTAAAGTAGTGAATTATTTGTCTTTTGTCAACGTGACACTTTTTTTGCTGATTGGCCGTGTCGGGTGGTGGAGGGTTAGGACACATTTATAAATAACGCGATCTAACCCAAAAACCTTTATTATGAATAATATTGGTCGCGAAAGCCTATGTGTTAAACTGGTCTCCCAAGGTAAACTAGACTTCCATGGTAAATTGGACTCCCATGGTAAACTGGACTTCCATGGTAAATTTGACTCCCATGGTAAACTAGACTTCCATAGTAAACTGTACTTCCATGATAAACTGGACTTCCATGGTAAACTGGACTCCCGTGGTAAACTGATCTTCCATGGTAAACTGGACTTCCAAGGTAAACTGGACTTCCATGGTAAACTGGAATTCTATGGTGAACTGGACTCTCATGGTGAACTGGACTTCCATGGTGAACTGGACTTCCATGGTGAACTGGACTTTCATGGTAAACTGATATTCCATGGTAAACTGGACTTCCAAGGTAAACTGGACTTCCAAGGTAAACTGGACTTTCATGGTGAACTGGACTTCCCAAGTAAACTGGACTTCCATGGTGAACTGGACTTTCATGGTGAACTGGACTTCCATATTCTTTCACCTGATGACGATTGCTTGTGTTGCGATCGAAACGTCGTGATATTTTATTATTATTTTTTCTATCTACGTGGCTTTACCGAAAGACCCAAAGAATAGACTTCCATGGTAAACTGGACTTCCATGGTGAACTGGACTTCCATGGTGAACTGGACTTTCATGATGAACTGGACTTCCATGGTGAACTGGACTCCCACGGTCTGGGGTCGGCAACCAAAATAACAAGAGGAGCCAATTTTTTTCGAATTCGGTAAAAAAAAACCCCTCAATATTTCAAGAGCCATGAAACAGCCCTTAAAGAGCCGCAAGCGCCTCCGGCGCTGCAGGTTGCCGACCCCCTGCTGATGAAGGTCTGAAAGCCCGACGCGGACTGTTGCATCACGAGACAATAAGAGATGGTGGCTCGGGGTGGGGGGGCCTTCCATCCAACGGTAGAGAGATGCTGACTGCTGCTGATGATGAAGATCAAGATGAATGGCCCATGAGCCCTGCCCCAGCTGCAGATGGCTGCATAATGCCAACAGTGTTTGAGGTAATAACCCCACAGCATTTCCAAGGGGGCCCTAAAAGTTAAGGCCCTAAAAGTTGGTGCAATATACAAACGGGTAGTAAATTACACTTGCACAGCTGTAAAACTTGAAGAAGAAGAAGAAGAAAAAAGGCTACATTCTCCCGGCTGTGATGAGCGCTGACAATGTAATAAGGAACGGAAGAGAAAGAGAGAAAGGGCTTCTTGCGGATGGCAAATGCGTGAGGTGAGACTGTGTGAGGGATGATGAGAAGCTAACGGAGCTCCGGCTAGGCAGGAATTGTGTGATCTTTGACCCGGTTGCGCAGGTAATAAGGACCCATGCAAGGATTCCCCCGCCCGTTAATCCAGCCACAAATTCCACTCGCGCTGGAATGTGGGCGCAGTAATTTTACGAATTCACGACTGTGTCAGGCCCGTAAAAAGCGCATCTCTGGTGGGCCCGATTGTGATGCAAATGTGCCACCCGCACCCTCCGTTGCACAGGCTCGGCAGTAATAAAGAGGGAGAGACAGAAGCCCTCTCCCCTAACTGGCACAGAGGTGACAACGATTGTGGGTTATATGCACCATCAGTCAAACCCGCACCGCATTACTTTGGGCGGCAAATTATCGAGAAACAGTGAGACGTGGAGATAGTAAAACCGTTTTACATCTGCTGCAATCCAAGCATGACGTGATACATCTCACAGCACATTAGGATTGGTACCCGTGCTTTACAAGTTGCTGTAAAGATTACATTTGTTTCGGAATTATTATCTTCATGGTACGTCCATGATTTCATTTGTGACGGAAAAAAATATGAACGTAAAACTCGTCATTGTATTCTTTGGGTCTTTCGGTAAAGTCACGTAGATAGGTTCAAACTAATCAAAATAAATATTAAGTGAACAAAAAACTTCGACGTTTCGATCACAACACAAGCGATCGTCATCTACGTGACTTTACCGAAAGACCCAAGGAATACATTTCTTTATTGTCGTGAAATGCACATTTTGAGTTTACATTTGGGATGTGTAACACACTTTTGTATCAAGGTAATTTCCTGTAAATATGTCGAAACCTTTGTTGGCTAAATTGAATGTAATAATTTGAACAAGAAACTCCAAATTGACCATTGTACACAAACAACAAAAGACAAATGCCCCTAAAGCCTAATCGGCTGCTGGGTCAATAGCTTGTGAGCGAGCGCCGATAAAGGCCACAACGGTGCATTCGAGGGTGGTGTGGCCAGGAATCGCACCCCACCAGTCAAGATATTTACACACCACACCTCAGGTATTCCCCACTTAAGTTATGCCAAGAGAGGCCCATAATCACCGCTGGCGTCAGCCGGGAATCGAACTCAGGCCACTGGGTTTGTATCGCGTTGCGGCTACCACTGCATCTCTGCTCCCCGCACGCACGCACGCACATGCACACAAACACTCGCACCCATACATGCGTACACACCTGCTTCCAAGTCTTTGAAATGGAAAGAAATGCAAAGGATGGAAGAAAGGAAAAGACACATTTACAATCCTGTTGAAGTAAAACATGCCAAGTGCTGATCGCGAGGAAAATGCAAATGTTGTGAGTGAATGCTTCAAGAGCAAGGACAAGCGCTTACCAGGGGGTGCAGTGGTAGGTCCTGTAAGAAACCGCAAAAAAAAAGAAACATAAATTAAATGATGGAAGCAGGTGATGGCATGCACATGAGTACATAAAGACAAAGATGCCCCCCCCCACCCCCTGTATAGGCTTAACAGACTGCTGGGGCAAGTGCTGTTAGCGAGCACCTATGAAGGCCGGCACGGCACACGGGGGGGTGGGTGCCCAGTATCGCGCCTGGACGCCTTTGTCTCCCCAGTGGCGATGTTTTACACGCTGCACCAGGTACTCAATTGAGGCTGAGTTGACCTAGGGGAGGCCCAGGACCGGTTCAGATTTTGGTCACTGGTGTTGGCTGTGAGCGGGAATCGAACTCAGGTCACCGGGTTTGTAGCGCAGCTCGCCAACCACTGCGCCACCACTCCCCACAAGCACTTACCAGGGGGTGCAGTTGTAGGTCCTGTAAGAAACCACGACACAATAACAAATTGAACGATGGAAGTAGGTGATTGCATGCACACACGTACGTGCACACATACGCACCCACACATGCACACGCAGTTCAGTGTCGGTCCCAGCTACCTGCCTATGCTTTACTCTGTTGACGATCGGGCAGAGTCAAGTGATCTCCTTCACAATAATAATTCGTATTTTTTTTTTTATAAAACAGTCGGCTTAAAAAAACTCAATTGATACTTTCCTAGGTAAAAGTAACGATTTTTTTTTAAAGGTTACTTAGATAATATTTGTAAATAGAGAGATTTCGGCAGGCTGAAGTCATTTTGAAAAAAAAAACGAACTTCATAATGAAAAGTTAGCCAACGTATTTAATCGGAGTGCATTCACTGCTGTGACGTATCAGAAATCAGAAACGTGGACACTGTCCAAAGAAAATGGAAAGAGAAATGGAAAAGAAGCGCGTGGAGACGCATGCTTGAAATTCGCATTGAGTGAGGTGACACAAAGGGGAATGCATACATGGACGAGAGAAGAGACATAACGTTGACTGCAAAGAAAAGCAAGTGGCGTCAAGGCAGGACCACGTGGCTCGAGAGGATGGTGCCCGGTGGCAATGATTGGAGTAGGCAGTCAATGGGAGAAAGAAAACAAACGCCTGAGAGTCCGTCCACTGCGGAGATGGAGCGATGAGATGGGCACGTGTGCAGGTGCAAGATGAATTGTTACTTCACAGGGCCATGTGAGATGGCGACGGCTTGGCGAAATCTTCATCCAGCAGTGGACAGATGACCGACGGTGATAGAATACTGTGTACAGGCAGAAGTATAATGATATGTCGGTTTGCATGAAAACATGAAATAGCTCATCGCGCGTGTGGGCTCGCTGAATCAGGAGGGCGGCAAATGCGATGCTGAGTCTCTCTGAGAGAGGTATCTAGGTCACTGTAATCACCGGATTCTCCACATTATAAGATGCTCCGGAACGTAAGATGCAGCCCAAACGTGTGCCTGGTGTCAATACAGTTATAAAGATCTGGTCTCATACACCCACCTACTGGATCATACGATGGCACCCACATTTTTGCTTTCACATACAAGGAATAAAAAAAAGTGCACCACAATCCAGAAAATACGGGGAGAAACTGTTCCTAGGTCTTGGCAATGTGTAAATGAAAATGATGGATTTTGGCCAGTTTTAAATGGTCCGCTCTTCCTCACCGTGTCAGACGGTGATCAATGTTAATTTTACTGGAGCTCAGGATGCGTTGATTTTATCGGCAGAAATGACCAGAGGGGGCGGGTTGCAGGAAGTGCACATACTGGCTCAGGACGTTTGTTAATCGCAGGCGGGCTGACCATTGACCTTTCCAGCACCCCCTAGTGGTCGGCCAGCCTACCAGAGGTTAACACGCGGTGTACAACTATGGAGCCGAGTGGGCGCAACAGCGATAAGTCGCCGTCACGTATGCGAGCGTGACGCAGACCCCCCCCCCCGCGTCCGAAGAGTAGACAGGACCTCAGCTGACTTCTTCAACGAGCACACATTAATTTTTTGCACCGTGCACCAACAGTTATAGTTAGAATCAGAATGTTAACTATTAATATGGAGGAGCCGCACGCTTGGAATTACACCGCGCAAAAGTGGACCGCATAGATCAAGTGGCGTATACAAGTTTGAGATATCATATTGACTATTCGGAGAAGCAAGTGGGCGTGGGAGGGACGCATCTGTCGAAGGGTGTCGAGACTAACGACAGGGCGGGTAGCCAAAGCGGAGAACAGGCCCAAGAGTATGGATGGCACTTGTGGAGGAGGAGGAATGGAATAAACAGGAGTGCAGGAACTTAGATGAATCGTTCATGAATTCGTTGCTACGTGAGACCGTGAAAGACGGCAACGTTTTGGAGAGGGCCTTCAGTGGCTACGTCATGGCTATGCTGTTGATGATAATTCAACACAAAGCATTAACATCTAGAGTCATGTTCACGATGATCCTGCTGGACGTTTTTTTTCCATTTCCCTTCTTGAGTTAGTTGTGTGTGGGAGGGAAGAAACTGCTGTGCCCAAAGAGAACCACCAATCAAACGCTCAAACACCTGCAGAGACAGTTCGGAAATCGCATTCGTGTGTCCTCCCCAGGGTAAGGGCATCTCGTGCACATCATGGCCTCATCCTTGCGAGACCCGCCAACCCGACGTCGCTGGAACTTCAGGCGGCATCGTTGACGGTGTCGGTGGGGCGACGGGGGGGGGGAGCTCACCGAGCCGCGTGCTGATGTAGAAGCGCTTGGTGCTTTGGCCCAAGTTGTTGGTAGCCGTGCAGTTGATGGGCGGGATGTTCTCCGACACCTTCACCATCACCACGCTCGTCAGCACGCCCGTCGCCTCATCCCAGCTGTCGTTCTGCTCGCCCTGCCAGATTACGAAAATTCAGTCGTTGGTGAGCCCAATTCATTTAGAGAGAGAGAGAAAGCTACAACTCTTGCCAAACGTTTGCGGCTTGCGAGCGGTGGGACGGCGAGTGCAAGGGAACAGAGGAGGGGGGGGGGTGGCGTAGGGCGGGGGGGTGCTGTCTGTCCGCTACCCCGAGTCGCACGCGAATGACATTTCCGCGCCACGGGACACGGGGTATTTTTTTTACAGCTGATGGATGCCTGTCTAAATATACGCATTTGTACGCTGAGGGGTGACATGTTAGCTGCTCGGATTGTGCCTCATTACCGCGGATGTCTCTGCTTCAAAACGGTAGCCAGCCCTGACACACGGAGGTGGGTGGGGGGGGGCGGGGGCGGGTGTAGGGGGGGCTCACGCTGAAATGTTTATTGAAATGACGCTTCAACAGTGGCAAAGCGCCACGCGTTCCGCCTCTTAACAGGTGCGCATTCTCGTAGCTCGTTTGTGGGTTCACTTAATCAAGGCCTTTAAGCACGGAATTAGGGAACGGCGTGAATCCTTGAACGCGTGTGCTTTTGATGAGCATTGTTGCCGGGAAAGATAATGCTAACAATAATCATCATCATCATCATCACACAATTGATTTTGCAATTAACAGTTTTCCCTTCTCACTTGACTTAACCTGTCCGCCACCGTCATTATGGAGCGTTTCCAAAAGGCTCTCCTGTGTCGTGAACGAGGACGGCACTCAACGCAGCCGCACGGGTAGCGATTGCTCACGTGGTGAAGTGAAAATCAGCTCCTCACTCCACAAAATTAGGGTCTCCCCAGACGAGCGAGGATCCTCGTGCGAGATTTTGATTCGTTTTCTCCGTGCGTAATTGTGCGCAAATAGCAATGCATCCACGCGCTCTCGCGAGTTGTTTTTGAACATTTTGATTTGAAGCTGTCGTGACTTGCAGGGATTCATGTTCTTGGTTCTTTCGGTAAAGTCACGTAGAAGGGAAACAATAAAATAATAAAATAATAATAATACGTGACTTTACCGAAAGAACCAAGAAAATGTTATTGAACTGTCGTCGAATTGCTGACAATTTGCGTCTCTTTAGCGGAAAAAACCTTCAAAAGGGAAGTGAAACTCTCAGTTGCATTTATTTTCCTTAGAAAGAAATTGTCATGTATAAACCAGGTGTTGCTATGAAAATGCGTTGGTTTTAAAAGGATATTTCAAAGAATCGTGATAGGAGTATATATTCTTTGGTTCTTTCCGTAAAGTCACGTAGAAATAGAAAGTAATAAATTACATAATATCATACGACGTTTCGATTGCGACGCAAGCAATCATTCTACGTGACTTTACCGAAAGAACCAAATAATAATTTCTGCAGTCACGAAGGCACAAAATCAAGTTTGAACCACCTCTACGCGGAGGTTTTAAGTTTGTTTTATAGTTTTTTTCTCTCTCTGTGTCTCGTTGTTGTCTCCCCCTGCTTGTGTGTCTGTCTCTGTGTCTCCATGTCTGTGTCTTGTCTCTCTCTCAAATTTCACACTTAACTTCTAATTGAGCAATCTTTGTAATAACTTAATCAACCAGGCCATGTGTTAATTGTGTGTTGACCGACTCTCTGTGTTGCATTACATTACATTTCCAAATTTTACTAAATTTGTTTGATTTAGTGTTGCCTTCTTCTCTCTCTGTCTCCCCTCGGTTGTTGCTCTCTTCTTCAGCGGTGGCACAGGATCTCTCATTGACATGCTAATTCCTCTAACCCCCCCCCCCTCTCTCTCTGTCCCCCCTCTCCACCTATTTAAGGCCTCGACACAGAGGCGTTGTTTCTCTGTGTGCCCATGCGCGTGTGTCTCTCTCTCTCTCTCTCTTTGTCTCTGTGTTAACTCTTTTTGCTTATGTGTCTGTATATGTGTCTCCGGTTCTGTGTCTTATCTCTCTCTTAAATCTAGCAATCTTTAGAAGAACGTAATCAACCAGGCAGGGTGTTGACTGTTATGTTAGCCGACTATCTGCGCTGTATTGCATTATATTTCCAAGTTTACTAGCTTTGTTTTCTCTTTCACGTGTACCTGATGATGATTGCTTGCGTTGCAATCGAAACGTCGTATGATATTATGTAATCTATTACTTTCTATTTCTACGTGACTTTACCGAAAGAACCAAAGAATAATTCCTGCAGACACGAAAGCGCCAAATCAAGGAGAATATATTTCATCTCGACAATCTTATTTTATGCTTGTTTACCCTGGAATGCCTGAGTCTCAAGACTAGAGTTCAGGAGATTCCCGCTAAGTTTTTTTGCAGAAGGGGTAACAAATTCTACGTGTTTCCAAATTGAGAAAATTCATTTGGGGAAAAACCCTACACGGGCCTACTCTCTCGCCTAAAAAACGTCACGGAGTCTTTGGCGTCAAACTGTGAAGGTGACGATGTGTGCAGCAACGATCTTTAATGCACCCTCAGAATTTACCAGGGCGACCATGGGCTCAGACCGTGAACCTCTGCAACAAGTGGGGGGAAAAAAAAACCTGCTGCCCGCTCGGCCGTTTGCACGCTCAGACGACGCACGCACACACGCACGCACGCAGAGACCGCGCGTTCCAGTTGGGTCACAGCACCTCACTCTTCGGAGATTCATTTGTATTACGAGTTGCGACTGAAGAATACGTCGCGAATCGTACGATCGGGTTCCCGTGGTAGGATTCTAAGAGCTGAAGTCGGGTGAACCCAGCGTGGCGGCGCGTGCACTGCCCGGGCCCCCCAACAAACAGAAAAAGGCAAGCGGATTTGGAAAGGAGCGAGGAAACACTTACAGAGTCCAACGGCTTTTCCCATGAGATGACTGGACGGGGGTTTCCAGACACGATGCACACGAGTCTAGTGGTGTCACCCAAGGTTCGCGTCTCTTTGTGATCCTTGGAGTCGTTGAACGTCGGCTTCCCTGGAAGACAGCGTGGTCACAGTTTGAAGGAGCCGGCACGCAAAAAAAAGTTTCCATCCTCAAACGAGCGACAGGCATTGGGGGGGGGGGGGGGGGGGGGGGGGGGGGGGGGGAATCTCATCTTCCGTTGGCTGCCCTGAGCCAGTGGGGGAAATTCCACACACCCATGATGGGGATGAATCAAGCCAAAAGGCTTGTTAAAAGTGGCACTCATTTTATTAGATGCAGGGATGTGATGCGTTGAGCCAGTTGACCAGCTGGTAAGGACTGTGCCACCCTGGCCAGTTCATGGATTCATCATCATAATGTCAATAGTCTACAGCTACATGATATTAATTGACAAGGGAATCTCCCTGCGTTTATCATTGTCTGGCATTTTAAAGCAAAAGTTTGGGGTAAATCTTATCATCCGGTAGGAGTGTGCATATGTGTGTGCATGATCAGATTCAGTATAACGTTATTTTTGTTTTGTTGCGGTTGCACCCGAGTCAAGAGCATCATGGCTCACAGGGTTATACCTAATACATGAAACTGAAAACTGAAAGTGACACCGGGCACGATCTTGGGGTACATCTTACTTTCCTGAGAATCTCACACAATCCGGAAAAAGCTGTTACCGATATGGACTAAACCTTTATCTCCATAGCTAGAGTAATCGTCCGCTTCTTATTTGGCCAACACTCAAGTGTTCAGAATATATCTTGACAACAATTCGGGGTCCCTTGGCGATAACTTTACAAGTCACAGGTCAAAAACTGTACCGGTAATCTGAAAACAGAACCATTCACTTTGCCGAACTATCTCCCATTAACATTCGTGAGAAATGTGACCAAGCTTGCGCCTCCATCTACTAATTTCCTCACTTAGGGTACCATTAGAATGTTCCACATTTTGTAAGCGCAAGCGAATTCAGGCTGTAAATATTTAAAATGAAAAATAAAGTTATGGAAGTGAAATATTACAGCAAAGCTTTGATAAACTGAATCTGAATTTGGGTTATTTTTTTTTGGGATGCTCCATTTTAAGCTGTCTAACACTATTCTGTTAAATTCGACGGTCTATAGTAATAGAGAAAATGTGCCGATAATGAGAATCTGGGGAGCTACCCACGCCTTAACTGGATCATCAAGTCGAGCGAATTCACTCTCTGAGCCTGGCCATCGATGACTGCAAAATACGAGACGTCATATGATATTTTTTGTACTTAGTTTTGCAGCAACAAAAAAAAAATCTAGTTTTGAGGATTAAAAAAAATCAAGATTTCATATCATTGCTTGCTATGCGAAGAACAAATTTAGGGTGGAATACGTTGTAACGTTCCTTTTTCTCCTGAGCGTGAGAAATAAGTCACTTGAGACTCTCAGAAGCAGTTCTTTGATGTAAACTTTTGCGAGCCGTTCTCTAACATAGGGCACATGACACTCGTCTTGTTGTGTCACAATTGGAATGAAATGGGGGGGGGGGGGGTTGGAAGAGAAATTAAACATTTAAGATGAAGAAAATATTCACTTTGAAGCAGGGAATTTGTTTCACAAAGATACACATTAGACTTTTTTCATTTTCACGACTTTTTTTTCTAATTGAAAAAAATCGCAAAAAAATATATAGAATGGACCCACTCTCTGACAGCATAGAAGCATTTGCACTGGGGAATGACACCGGTGGGATGACAGCAACAGCTAAAGAACAACTTATGCCGTTCCTCCGGTAGATTTGATTCACCCAGCCAAAGGACAGCAGCACTGAGTTTAAAGCTCGTTTCACGAAAGAGTTTATCAAGTGTGCAGCTAAGACCTTCGGTGGTTGGGATTGCGATGAATTTTTTGCGAGCAAAAAAAAAAAATTAAGACATTTTTTTCATTGCCGTCATTGGTGACTGATCCGAAACCATCAATTTACCACGCTCCGGTGACTAAAACATGGATTATGACACATAATATCGGTGACTCTTGACACCCACCGCACTGACATGGGCATTAGCCTCCTGGTCCGTGAGACGTGAGACTAAACGTCCGCTCCGAGGGCCGCGTGCACCAGCGTGCGTGTGCGCTGCGCGTTTAATGTTTCATAACGAAGGCGGAAGGTGCGGGCGGTGAGGGCGAGTCGCATTGATGAGACCACCGTCGCTGAAATTCGCCCCCCACCCCACCCCCCCCCCACTCTCTCCCCAGACTCGTGAAAAAGGTAATTGCAAACAGCCGCTATCGTGCCATTAAAACAACACAGCTGGCCATCCCGCGCGCTGAAGATTATTATTTTTAAAAAAAAATAATTCTGCTGAATTGCTAACAGGTTCAACGCTCTCATTTGCAATGCAAAGCGACAGGCGCGTGCGCAATGGCCGCTGTCAAAACGCGGCTTTGGTGCCGGTCGTTTAACGCGCTCGCTCGTTCGGAGACCGGAGAGGGAGGAAGCGAAACCCGCGCCGCCGCCGCCGCCGCCGCCACCGCCACTGCGGCCACGCCGTCGTACCTTCCACGGTAACTTTGACGGAGCTCGACCTCTCGAGGCCCGGCACGGAGGGCAGCGAGGCCACGCAAGAGTACTCGCCCATGTCGGACAGCTTCGCGCTCGGCAGGTTCAGCGTGGCGACGTTGGACACCACCTTGCCGGCCTGCAATGCGGAGCGCAGAAACAGAGTGGGCAACTTTTCGGCGAAAGTGTGATCTGTGAGTATAGAGGATTCCATCGTTTTCATTCTTACCCAATGGCAGGATACGCACACCAGTATAGGGTGGGGATTTAAGAAACTTGCCTCATTGTATCAACTGCCGTGCAGGCAGGTTAAATCGGCGACCTCCGGATTGCAACTTCAGTGCAGTAACCATTACACTAGATCAGCATCCGTTTGCCGAGAAGACCAATGGAGAATAGGAATGACCTTACCACCTCACCCTCCCACCCTCCACCTACGCTGGCTCGCAGCGACATCGTTTCCAGTTCAACATTTATGCTTGCATGGCACAGCAGCCCACCTACGCATATGCGTAGCATGGACACAAGCCACAAAGTGGCCCAGAATTTCCAACACGCACTTATTTAATTTGGCCACATTTGCTAGTTTTGCTCATTAACCATGCAAAACACTCCCTTTTTTACATTTAAGTCACAGATTCCTCGCCCGTTCTTTAATCTGAGCTTGAGGCTTCACGCGATAAGGCCTCTGGTTGGCCGAGATTAGTTACACCGCGACTCGAGTCGGTCTCGGGAATTTCAGCTTTGTGAATGCACGCTTCACGGTGCGCTCGGCGCTTTGACATTGGCTTAGGTGAAAGTTGTCCCATAGATCTATGCTGTATTGTATGGATTTTCAGCGTCGCTCACAAGAATTACAATTCCGTGTCACCTTTGTGTCGTTGGTGAAACAGCGTAGTGGGGCTCAGCATCTTTCAAAAGATCCTAAAGCCCCCCCTCTCGCTGGCTCTGCTTGAAGCATTCAGTGTTGAGACTTTCCCTTTTTTTGGGCAAGCGAAGCCCATTGTTATCACGTCAGATTAACCACACAAAGACAAGCAGACTTCAATGCAAACCCGTTGGGCGCAAAGTTGTTAACTGAAGTGGCTCTGCATAAAGACGCTCATCTATAATGATCAACAGTGACTCCATTGCCCTCGAGTGTCTCGCTGGCTGGGATAAAAGCCACCGTCACTTGAGGTTAAAGGAATAAATGCCTTTCCAGGTAATTTTTTTTTGTTCCACGAGCTGTTTTTTGTCGCTTTGTTCGAGTGGAGCGACCCGCTTGCTCGCCCGCCCGCCCGCCCGCCCGCCCGCTCATGATAATTTCAAGGTTACTCTTTGTCAACCCAAGAGAGCCTGAGCAAGGCACGAGGAGGGCGCCGATGCCAACGTGACGCCAACGAGGCAAAATCCCTCACCCGCCACACCTCTAGTCCGAACGTGTGGCAGGCCAATCGACAAAAAAAACATGGCAGTCGCGACTCCTTCATCCGGAACGTTTCCCAAATGCACGGAGGAGCTTGACAGCAGTTTTCGGGCAAAGCCGTCGGAATAAAAAAAATAGTAGCAACGTGCATTGGGATTTATTTTATTTGCTGCAAAAGAGTCTGGATCTCACGAGAGTGGCAAAAGAGGCAATTGCCTGCTGGCACGGTCGCAGCGTGCACACCAGAGAGTTTGCTCAGAGCAGGTTGCACTCACACACCACCAGACATGCGAGAGAAGACCTCAGATGTCTTCTTGCAGAGCTGTCTGAGGCTAAGCCCAGTGCGGGATCAATTGTGACAAGTTCTTATGAAAATAGACAGAAGGAGAGGGAGAAATAAGCAATGAATCGCAACAGGCTAAAGCTATGGAAGTACAGAGACACTTTGCACTTTGAAACGTAGGTTTCCAGAAAACAATTTAAAGCACGAAATGTTTCAACTGCATGCAGTTGTCCCAATGCCAACCAAGAGAATCGCACAAGTTGCACAGTATCATTTTTCTTCACACATATTACTGAGCAATACACAGTGACACTCACAGAGCTTACTAAACCATTTGCTTATGTAATGCACTCTGACTTAGAATGACATCACCGGAAATGATCTTTGTAAAGCAGCATTATTGACAGAAGCAATTATCTTTTTACACACCAGGGAGGCCAGGTTTGTGATTAAATTCAGAAAAGCTACGAGATAATGATGTCAGCACACAAACAAATCAGGCCTGAATGCATAGCAGTGGCCTCAACACCAGCCTCTTTGGTCACCTGAAACCACATTTCACACCGCCAATAGCGCAACAGTGGGCACGTATTGCCGGATGCTGATGTGCGGCTCCGAGTGTTGGAGTGCAAGGAAATCCGACCAATAAATCCGACCAATAAATCCGACCAATGAAATCCGGCCAATGAAAAACAGTAACCTCACAAATGAGCTCGCTGCGTAGAATGCCAAGAGTGTCTCGACTACAGCAAATAAGGAAGGAACAAATAAGAGAACCACTGGGACCCGAGGTGACACTGAGAGAGAACAGCCAAGAGAGATGACTCCCGCGGTTTGGACACGTGGTCCAGATGCGATCGGAAAAGAACGGCGCACTCGCGTGGCGTTACAAACACAAGCGTGCGCAGAGAGAAAATCGCGGATGGGCAAAGGTGCACGCCGGGGTGGCACGGTGATGAATGATCTCGAGAAAAACCGGGGGCAATGAGCAGGAGGGAGTTAAAGAAGTTTCCCGAAATGGTTATGTTTGCGTCTCTTTGAGAACCGCGGCGGCTGACGTGGCCGACGGGATACCTTTGTCCACGTGTAGGTCGGTATCCCGGACGACGAGGGAGTGGCGCAGGTCACCTGCACCTGCACTCCAGCCATGACCTTGATCGGCTCGGAAGGGGTAAGCTTCACATCATCCAAGTCTGGTGGGGGGAGAACCAATGGAAAGACAAAACCGGAAGGCTAATTTTATTTAGAATCAGAATATTGATTCATCCTGGAGGAATCCGATGAACTACAAAGCTTTTTTTTCACAGATGCCCAGGAGGGGTGGCTCAGAACGTTACAACATCAAACAATACAAAAACATAATAGGAGTTCAAAGTATAGGAAAGGCAAGCCAATTACTCAATCAAATAGAAACAAAACACAACTATTTTACGAGGTAAAGCCCACTGAACTTCTGTTTCAGAAATGACCTGGCCACAAATGATAGCTCAAACGAAATGGCTTATCATGTGGAAATGTATAGCAACGAAATAATCGAAATAATCTAAATGGAATGTGCAAAGGGTTTAGTTTTGGTGGATAGTCAACTTCAAGACCACAATCCCTTCCAGGTGGATAAAATGGGTATCAAACTTTGACAGGTCCACAGTGTTCATGTTCATTCTATGAAAAGACTGGCTCCTTCCATAGCAATGTGGAGATTTTACCACTGGCTCAGGACTGCTAATGTAGATTAGAGTGGCACCAATGCTCATCTGAGAAGGCAATGTACTGCCACTTTTAACGCTCGAGTAATTTGTTTCATTTATTGTGCCATTTGACGTATATCGGGATGCATCTTTGACGACAATAAACAATGCTTGGAGGTAACCCGCGTGCCTGCCCACAGCTTCAAATTGTTCCTCTAAATATGCTGGGTCACAGCAGCGTAAAATAAAACCAGACACCTGTGCAGTGCTGCACAGCAGCTGTGAGTGCACTCTCAAACGCAGGGCACGTGTCTTTCCAGAAACGCATACCACTTACCATGCATCAAAAGCAAAATCAATGCAGCCTGTATATAATATTCACTTCCCACTGGTCGGCTCTGCAGGGATTACCAAGGTTTCCTTTTTGCCCTTCCCCTTCCGAGACGAACGTTGGGCTGTGGACATGACCCAGCGGTAATGCGTTCACTAATCGAATCGAGTGTTTGCCCGTAGAATACCACGCGACGTCTACTACACAATTGACCGCTTTTGAGGAACCTGTGCCATTATTCGGAAGGAGGAGGCCATCGCGTGCCGACATCCCTGAGAGAAGAGGAATGGAACGTGTCTGAGGTGACGTCCGTCTATGAGATGGAGCGATGGACCGAGTTCATTCGCAGGTGCATGGCGGAATGTTACATCGTGGGATCGTTATTGGTGGCCCCAGCTTGGGAAGCACTTCATCCAACAGTGGATTGAACATGATTGATGATGGTGAAGATGATGCAACGAACTAAACACTAAAAGCAGTCCTCAAGAAATTAATTTTCAATATCGATTTAAACGTGAATAGCTCCAGTGGCTTCCTAATTTCGGAAGGCAGAGCATTCCAGACGGCCGCAGAAGCGCATCTGAAAGCGCGCGATGCAGAACAGCTTGTGCCTTTGCCTTTGGTACCCATATAAACGACTATGCGCACAATGCCATGGCTGTAAGATCCAGTGCGCAGCTGCTGGGATGGATCGTTACATCTCGGGATCGTGAAAGGTGGCGGCAGCTTGGGGAGGCCTTCATCCAGCAGTGGATTGACCATGGCTGATGATGATATGCCTGCATCACAGTGTGCGCACATCCAAGCCTTACTAGGTACGCTTTTCGCACGTGTATTTATGCATGTACGCGCGCGCGCGCGTGTGCGTGTGTGTGTGTGTGCGTGCGCGCGTTTAATACGGTACTGTGATCGGGGCACAAGCTCCGTGTTGAGCCGTTGAGTAATGCACAGCCGCACCGCCCGGAGGCATGGCCAGTCTCATTATGCGAAGCGACGGTGCCTGCGATGCAGGTGACAGCTTCCAGCATGCAAGAGCCCCCCCCCACCCCCCCACTTCAGCGTACTAAGCGTAGCATAGAGCATCCTTGAGCAGCGAGACGTTTGTTTTTTTGTTACTGACAAAGGCTGACGCAAAGTGTTTCTTTATTGTTCTGTTGACGTGGGAATTTGATACGCTTGCGAATAGCGCAACACTCTGCTTCCCTAATTTCGTGTCAAAATTTTATGCAATGGTTCAATTAAGCCACGTCGCGATGCGCATGGGGGGAAAAACCAAGGCAGGTGGCTCCTTCGGTTGCCTCATTAGCGGTTGCATGCTATTTTATGAGAAATTCCAACTGATGATTTTTTTTCTTCCTTCCTAGGGTTCCTTTCAAGTTCATCAAATTGATCGTTTCAATATCCTCCAAAATCTCATTCGGAAACCAATTTGTTTCAAACAGCTTTTCTGTGTGACTGGTGGGCTTGAGGTGGCTGTTTTAATTGGGTAGTGGGTTTGTGTTATGGTATTGGGTCAATCGCGTAATTTCCTTTAGATTGATTGACTCTGGCTGATTAAGCTCGGCCGTAATTGAGTTCCCCACGAAATCCTGTGTGTGCGAGCGTACGCAACATGGATGCGCATTTTGTAAGTCAGAGCAAAATACGACAATCACGACGGAGACAGCCACATTGACGATGACAATTATTGTTTGGCAACTCTCTCGCGCCACTCACAGTTCACCACGAGATCCTTGCTGCTGTTCATTGACGTCTCCATCCAGTCGGGATTGAAAGCATGACACCCGTATGTCCCGGTGTTGTTCCGATTCACGGCAGGCAGGGTCAGTCTGTCCTTCCGGGCTATGCTGGAAAAATCGAACTTCGCCGGCAAACTCTGAAACGAGTAAACGGGAGCGAGCAAAGTCAGTGGTCACGAACAGCAGAGCCATCAAACACAACACAAACTTCAAAGGGCTCCGCTGAAAATCTCCCATGGCATTATGAGTCTCGTGGCATCGGTGCACACGTATGTGCCCTCGTTGTCAATTAACTGCCGGATGCTATGAGAAGAATAAAACAGAGTAGCTTCTCACCTGGTAGAAGTCGATCTCGGGTAGGGGGAATCCGTCTGTCTCGCACCTGAACACCACCGTGTCCCCCTCCTTCACGGCAACGCTGGGAGACTCAATGATGAGGTTCACCTTCTCAGGCGGATCTGTTCATCGCAAGGAATTCCACAGACATGAAATCATCGTATGCCGCCACCGCCCATCGTCATAATTAAGTTTACCACCGTTATCGCCATCGTCGTCGTCATCATTGTTTTCATCTTCACCATTAAAAACAATGCCACTTTCGATTTAAAGCTTTCATGACTGCGGTAATTCATATTCTTAGTTATTTCGGTAAAGTCACATTGAAGGGAAACAATAAAATGAAAAATATATATAAAACAATAATATTGTTTTATAAAATATATATAAATAAATATATAAAATATATAAAACAATAATATAGTTTTATATATTTTATTATTTATTGTTTCCCTTCAACGTGACTTTACCGAAAGAACTAAAAATAAAAATGCCACTTTCATCATCATAATCATCGTCGTGAATTACCACTGGTGCTACCGCCACGATCATTACTGTAGTCACGATTATCAGAAATATTGTCATCACCCTCTTCACTGCCATCATCATCATCATCGACCTTTGTAAAACAAACCTCAAAGTGCAGCACGAATACAAAACCTATTCAATGTCATTGAATAGGTGCTAACATGCATGCCGTGTTGTTCTCACAAACCCTACTGCAGATCCCGGCCATGAACCCTCGACACTCTGCGAAGTACAAATTCCCTGATTGAGTGTCCATGACTAGCAAAGCTGATGTACACTCATGGTGGATTCAGTTGTATTACACCACGCTAACAGGCAATACTACAGAACTACTTCAGAGATCCGTTCAAGTGACCTCTTCCCCACTATAGGGGAGAACACCTTCCCACACACGCACTGCAACAGGACAACGTTTATTGTGTGCAGGAAAACCAACATCGTTGAAATTCTCCAAGCAACATTCTAAACGTTTCTTGTTTGCCACGTGCTAAACGGCGTCCGTTTGTAGCTGTTATAAATCAAAGCCGTTAATGAAGCTATTATTAAATCACGAAGCAGCTGTATCATACACCTAAAGTTAATTTGAATCGCGTGCAACCCTTTGTAATTTAGTTCGAGTGAAGTTGGCAACTCGGGGCACTGCAATGTCACCGATTGCCTCCGCGGCATAGCGGTCCGCACGCTCGAGGGTCGTCCGGCTCGATTCAATTTCCTGGCGCGGCAGTTGAAACAACGGTGCAAAGTTTCTTAAATCCACGTGTCCACCGCGGGTAGTCGATGGGCGGGGGGATCGCGCGCGGCGGGGGTGAATCGCGGGTACTCCCATCTCTTCCAAGATGCATGGCCAGCATCCAAAGGGTAGGTCTTCATACCCCCTGGTTGGAGCCCCTTCCGCCGGCAGTGGCATGAGAAAGCAATTGCAGCGCTGCGCCTTTACTTTGCTTCACACAGATATGTAACGGCATCCGGCAGTCCTGAATGGAAACGGCCATGCGACGGAGCGCGCGTGCGGCCAACGAAGCCTGTCAACGCCGCGCCAAGCCACCTTTGAACTCAACTAAAACTATGAGAATGATATAAACTAAAACTCTTTTTTGTTATTTTTACCAGGTAAGGTCCACTGAGCTACTATATAGTTATTTTTCAAAAGCGAGCTCGCCACAAATGACAGCTCAACAAAGTGGTTTGTCGTGTGGAAATGTATAACAGCCAAAATACTCCAAATGCACGTTTCTAAATGTGGAGGGAAAAGCCGGAGAACCTGGAAAAAAAATCCACGCGACCACAGGTAAAAAATGCAAACTACAAATATACAGGCGTCAGGGTCGGGATTGAACCCACGACTGTATATCAGGCGAGGGAGTTAACATCTCGCCACCGCGGACAAAATCTGCGCGTCGCGGAGACACGGCAACACCTGCCAGGTAGGTCGTGTCATGTGACACGCACGCAACGTGCACACACCCAGCCCCGAGCACCCACGCCAAACACTGGGACACCCGTCGACCAGTCAAACAGCTGTAGTAATCCCAGGGGGGAGGGGGTGGGGGGGTACCAGAGTGGGCTCTAAATGGATGACGCTTCACACTTTTATTTATTGTCCTCCAATTTACCAACGGTGTCCACTCGTCCTTCTCTTGGGACACGTGCAAATTGGAGTCCCCAGGCGCGCGGATAAGTGTCGGAAGCCGGACGCGTCTCCGGCGCGAACGCGCGGCACCCCGGCAACCGCTATGCAGATTTGTCACCGCGGTGATGGCCCGATGCGCCACATCTTCAATTACCATCTGCGGTTTCCATTTTTTAAGTGCGCGGGGGTTTGAGTGTGACATCGTCAGAGGAAGAGCGTGCACCTCCGTGTGAGAACGCGCGCACGTGGCGTGTGCGAACCGCAGTGGTGTGGCGAGGTGTAGAGAGCTCTGAACCCCACGGCCCGAGTTTGATTCCCGGCCATGACTAACGTCAGCGGGCATTCTGATGGTCAACACCACCCATTCGTGTGTTGCTCCAGACTTAATGGATGCTCGCTACCAACAGCCTCTATACGCCACTCAGGTGATCATTGTGTTCAGTATGCACGGTAAAGGCATGCTGATGAACCCTTATGAAGTTAAAAACTGTACAGATGCGGCTCCATGCACTTTCTTTAAAATACCCTTTTGCCTTTTCCCCAATTTTCATTCGATTGTGCTATTGGTGTCATGTCATTGGAACTGTCCAGTGAAGGCAATGTCACAGCACCCGCCTCTGAGCTCCTTTGAAGTTAACCTCTTTCTCCCACTATGGGGAGAGAGAAAAGCAATTTCCCACAAAGTCCTCCTGCAGGAAAAGGTTTGGTGCGTGGCATTAAAAAAAATTGTTGCCGCCAATATTTTCATGATTCACAAAGCCGATGTTTTAGCTAAACAATTGAAACACTCACTGAAACAATGTATCATGGTTGAATAGGCTAATTGACTATCACATTGATTGACTTTTGTCTCTATATTCCCTCCTTGAGCGTGTTCCATGTAAAATATTTAGTTTAAAAGCATTCTTGAGCATAATACATCCTAAAGGTAAGATTTATATCAACAAATAATAGTTTTTTGAATAATTGGATCGTATCTATTTTGTACCAATGTGCGAACACTGGTGAAATCGCCCAATGCCACTTGACACCACTATTAGCAGAAAAAGGAAGGAAGTGATGTCATATAAAAAACATCACTTCCGGTCAATGGAAAATTGAAGACGAGCCACAGTAGTACAACTGTGGTCATGCAACCCAAACTATGGACCATATGGTAAAATACCGTAGTCTGCGCTCCTCCAACGGAGGAACAGCAAAACTACACGAACTCTCTCCTGAATCCCCTCTCGTCGTGGCGAGCAGACCATGACATTGGCAACTAGCTCCTGAGTGTACAGTAGAACCCCTCTTAACGACCACCCCTGTTGACGATCGATCGCTTAGCGACGGCCTCCATAGAGCCCAATGTGTAGTGTATAGTAGTGTAGTGTTTAGGAGTGTAATGTATAGTGTAGTGTATAGTAGTGTGTAGTGTAGTGTATAGTAGAATTACTCTTAACGACCACCCCTATTAATTACTAATCGCTTAACGACGGGCCTCCATAGAGCCCAATGTGTAGTGTATAGTAGTGTAGTGTTTAGGAGTGTAATGTATAGTGTAGTGTATAGTAGTGTGTAGTGTAGTGTATAGTAGAATTACTCTTAACGACCACCCCTATTAATGACTAATCGCTTAACGACGGGCCTCCATAGAGCCCAATGTGTAGTGTATAGTAGTGTAGTGTTTAGTAGTGTAATGTATAGTGTAGTGTATAGTAGTGTGTATTGTAGTGTATAGTAGAATTACTCTTAACGACCACCCCTATTAATGACTAATCGCTTAACGACGGGCCTCCATAGAGCCCAATGTGTAGTGTATAGTAGTGTAGTGTTTAGGAGTGTAATGTATAGTGTAGTGTATAGTAGTGTATAGTAGTGTAGTGTATAGTAGAATTACTCTTAACGACCACCCCTATTAATGACTAATCGCTTAACGACGGGCCTCCATAGAGCCCAATGTGTAGTGTATAGTAGTGTAGTGTTTAGGAGTGTAATGTATAGTGTAGTGTATAGTAGTGTAGTGTTTAGTAGTGTAATGTATAGTGTAGTGTATAGTAGTGTAGTGTATAGTGTAGTGTATAGTAGTGTGTATTGTAGTGTATAGTGTAGTGTATAGTAGTGTAGTGTATAGTAGTGTAGTGTATAGTGTAGTGTATAGTAGTGTAGTGTATAGTAGTGTAGTGTATAGTGTAGTGTATAGTAGTGTAGTGTTTAGTAGTGTAGTGTATAGTGTAGTGTATAGTAGTGTAGTGTATAGTGTAGTGTATAGTAGTGTAGTGTTTAGTAGTGTAGTGTATAGTGTAGTGTATAGTAGTGTAGTGTATAGTGTAGTGTATAGTAGTGTAGTGTACAGTGTAGTGTATAGTAGTGTAGTGTTTAGTAGTGTAGTGTATAGTGTAGTGTATAGTAGTGTAGTGTATAGTGTAGTGTATAGTAGTGTAGTGTATAGTAGTGTAGTGTATAGTAGTGTAGTGTATAGTAGTGTAGTGTATAGTGTAGTGTATAGTAGTGTAGTGTTTAGTAGAATTCCCCTGTTAACGACGGCCTGTTGGAGGTACAGTAAATATTAATTAATGCATTATTAACCATGTTTATTTTAACAGTATGTGTTTATAATGTTGTTAGTATCTTTACGTATTAATATACGTTGTTTAAATATTATAACAAAATTACCGGGTGAAAAATTATGATTTTCGATGCTATCGCAACGAATTAAGCCTTTAACATGTATTTCCTATACTCGCATTAATGACCAAGTAAATTAACGCCGGTTTTGTGGAACCAATTACCGTCATTAGGAGGGGTTCTAATGCATTGTCATCATATGCAACATTGGAATGGAGTCAGATTGATTTAAAGCAACAAAAACAAATCCAATCACCCAAAATTTCGCAAATCTAGGCCCGACATTTGGATTTTGCCGGATTAACCCGACACTTGGGAGTCCACCTCTGATGTATACACTCACGCAGATGCCCTTTGCCTGTCCCATGTACTCACAGTGCATAGTCACGTTGATTTTCTCCGAGTCGATGGCCTTGCTGCTGCCTGGCATCTTGTAGTTGACCTCGCAGTGGTACTTGGCTCTCACGTCCGACTTCTGCGGCTTGTAGTTCAGGACGGACGTGACGGTGAACGTGCCGTCGGTCTCTTTCGTGACCGTCGGCGTCACTTTCACGTCTGCCACAAGTACCCATGCACACACGCAGTCATCCACCCTTTAGCCTTGTAAACTGTAGACTGTGGGCACAAAGCGCCGTCAGTGAGCACCTATTATAGCCTGCACGACACACAGACTATGCGGCCAAAACCACGTCAACATATTATGTTCACATACCGCGCTAAGCATTCATTTAAGGCAGAGTCAACGCAGACTAGGCCCAGAACAAGTTTAGATATCACTTGAATCGTGGTTCACCTCGGGGAGGCCCATAACTGGTTCAGGCATTCGTTATCCACGATACCAGTGAGCGGGATCGAACTTGGCCAGCCAGGTTTGTAGCAAGGTGCACTAACCACTGTGCTACCGCTCCCCATTCCACAAAGACAAAGATCCTCCCTATATCCTTAACAGACTGTTGGGGTAAGTGGTGTTTGTGAGCACCTATAAAGGTTGCACGGCACATGAGAGGGTGGATGGCCAGCACCACGCCTGGCTGTCTTTGTCTCTCCAGTGGCGATGTTTACACACCGCACCAGTTATATACTTAGTCAACCTAGAGGAGGCTCGTGTGAGCAGGTTCGTAGCACAGGGCACGAACCACTGCACTACTGCTTAACCATACCAAACACACGCACACAAACACGCAAACTTAATTTACAATCAAATTATGTGCGTATGTGCATTTGTGATTCCTGCCCATGAGCTCTGTTAATTTAAATAAATAAAATCAGTGATTGTTAGTGCAGGCCACTAACTGTAAAAATTGCAAATGTTGAACCAAGACTGGAAATTATGACTACGCATTATTCATTGATTACAGAGTACTACCGGTGATGCAAATGCATCAGTTGAGCCAATTATTGTTCCCGTGATGTAGCTCGATATCACATGTGATCGAGTAGGCAGAGTAGAAACATAACAGAGGCGCCATGACTTGATGTGCCAATACATTCACGTCGCAGCAAAAAGTGCTGTCCCACCTGCAACCATTAAAATTCGTTCAGTTTGCATTCATCGCACGCACCATGCGTTTGTTTGGCCTTTTGTGCTTTTTTGCTCACGTTTTTATGGAAAAGTAAAAAGAGAAAAACCACACATCAACGGAGCAGGTTCCGTGCACGCGCACACGTATGGCTAATGCCGTGCAAGCACACACACACTTCAAACAAAAGCGGGCGGTGATGGAAGCCGGTCTGTGAAGCCGGGGTTACACGTGTTTATTTTAAGGACGCTACAGGAGATTCAAATGTATTTACTTATCGGCCCATTAGCCCTGAGCTTCAGAAGACCTTTTATTTTATCACGCTAAGACAGGGTCTGGATGGCCGATGGAAATCAATTTGCTTATCGGTGGGAAACACATTTTTCGAGGGCTGCTTGGTTAACCTGCGGTATATTTACGTCCAGCACCAGGCCAAATTGTGGCGTGCAACATATTACCGGAACCCGCTGTTGTATTGTAATACCCGAGCGGTAAAAATCAAGGTCAAAAAGCTGCTGCTGCTCTATTGAGAATCTTGACGCAGCCTGGCGCTGCCGAAGCATGCGTCTAAATTGCCAAGAAACGACGCCCCTTTGCCAATAGCATCCCGAAATGCGGCGGTATTTGTTTGACGGGCGCGATTGCTGATGAGACTCAGAAAGTCGAAACCGTTTTCGGAGTTTGCTGCTGTAACAAATGCTGCTGATAAAGCATTGGGTACCGGGGGGGAGTTCTATAGGGCAATAGACTACAATGTGTTATTTTGTGTGTAGAGAGTGACTTTTAAGAATAGGCTTTACCCTTTATGGAAATAAAACAGTTGTTAAGATGTTGAGACGCCAAACTCATGCCTATTGCAAGGCATCAAGTCCGCATTGGCCACACATACGTGTGGCGAAAAATACAATACAAACATGATCCGATATTATATGCACTGTCTTTGAAACTGATTGGCCTACACCGGAGCCTTCTTTCTTGCCTCGTCTCACCAATGTTAGACCAAAGGACATCAAAAGGCGAACAGTGCTAAGGCAATGCAAGTATGATACTAGCAAAAAATACTCGCAGATAGGGAGATACTTCTGTCCGAATATTTACACATTGTTATTTGTGTCCTGGGAGTGGTGCGCCAGGAACGAAAACTCAACACACCCGACACTATCGCCGCCCGCAAAGCCTGGTTGAGCAGATCTTCTCGAAAGCTTTCGCCACCCACTACTGCGGGCGCATTCAGGTGGTGGCGCCCACAGTCGTGCGTGGCGAAATCTCCGCAGAATCAATGCTTGAGATGCCGCCCGAAGCGGGCGACCACACTCGGGATTACGGGCGGCTGGGAAAGCGTACGCCGATGGCACCTTCTTCGCAGCAAACATGGGTGGCAAAGATGTGATTTGCACATTATATCGGTAGGTGAATTGCTTCAGATATTTACCAGCAGATGGCAAAAGGGGCACGGAGCCCTTGTACCAGGTGATGTTGGGCTCTGGGTAAGCATTCTGCACCAAACATTCCCCGATCTACACAGAGTGGAAACAAACAGACCAACAGCGCGCGCACACACACAATGACAAAGGAATGCTCATCAATCAACATTCCATAGTATACAATGAGCTTAGGGTGGTGGCTTATATATATTTTTTTATTTATTATGCGCACCCCCTGCACCCACCCAGCTCTGGCTGAAGTCTGAGCGGCAGACACACCCCACATAGGGCAAGACCTAGGATGCCGCGATAGAAACGATTCAGCAGCGGTTCAATAAGATGCTCCTTGATTGCATGGAGGTGTACGTATGTTGAACTTCTTTAGTGGCAATCGGAGGTGCGGGGGAAGGACAACAAATGAACGCACACACAGCAGGTGAGGAGGGTGGGCGTTATCTGCTGAATCCCGCCATCCCCCTCCATAAAAAAACGTACCACGCTAGTCAATAACAAGGCCCTAAAATAAGTGAAGCTTCAGGCAGACGTTGCTTTCTCTTCAATGATGCGCTTGAAACGCTCTTCCTTTAGATCTTAGGAGGCCATTGGAGCTATGTGCTTTTAAATATAGTTTGGAAACAAATCTTTTTTTTTAGAACTGATTTTTGTGTGTTCATTGCCCTTCCCATAACAACTCTGATTAGCAAGAGTCGTTCAACATGCATACAATGAAGAACGTTCCATTGCCTGAAATGTCACTTATCATACACATCCCCCACCCCCCACCCCCCCCCCCGCAACATTTATGGAAGTGTTATTATTGACGATAGTGTTCAGTTTTTGATGTCGCGTGACAAGAAAGTGTTTTGCTTAACAGGGTATCGCTGCTAAACATCTATAAAGAATGCGCGTTAACAGCCGCAGGACGGCGTCGCAACGTGTAACAACAACAAAAAAAAACATTACTCACGGAGAAAAAAAAAAACAACTCACACAATTTTTGTTTTTAAATCTTGCCTTGATGAACGAAAACCAAAGACCGATCCGACACGCGATATTAACGTTCCACCCACCAGGTGCGCCAGTTAATGGGAGGGCATTCATGGGCACTCGTTTGACACGGGGCCCCACAATAGCTTCGCTGCATGTGCGCGCCCCCATGAGGAGGGATTTTTCAAAAAGCTGCGCTGGGTCTCTGCAGCCCGAGCCGATCTCCGAGCGTGCTGCGCCAACGAAGGCTGGCTGCAGTGGCGCATTGCCAGGGTGACAACCGTTTCCCGCGTGGCTCGTCGGCACGCGCCTTTTTGGTGGACGTTCAACAACCGTGGGCAAGATTCCAGCGCCTCGAGTGATCCAACTTGATTTCCACCAAAGCCTCGCAGACGTTTTATATATATATATCTGGTGACGTCCGCACCAAGCGATGGCGAGAATTAGTTATGAAAGCGTGAACGTTGTGAGATGTGGGTTCCGTTACGGCGATTGGCTGGAGAGCCCGATAAATGTGCGGCGTGTTGCTCAGCCAGTTTGTGCACGTTCAATTTTACACAGCTGTTCCGCAGGAGAATTACAAAAGCATATTATCACTCCTCCACGCATACGGTAAACCTCACTGAGCACCTTGACACCTTTTAATGAATATCCTAGATTGTGTTGTTTGGTCAATTACTTTTTGTCATCTTCCCCTAATTTGATCCCAATCGTGCCATCGGCGTCACATCACGAGACCAAGCAACTGTCCAGACCTCTCGCAGAGCAGAGAAAAATCATCATTTTGGAGAGACGGCACCATGGAAGCGGGTATCACAGAGCTGCATCTGAGACCTCGGGTCCACACAACGTTTAGGGCAGCAACCAATTCTGCATATGAGTGATATTTGTCTCACGACAGTAGGACGGATTTTTCTTCTCAGAGCTGGATTTAAGCCACATTAAGTTCAAGTTTACGTGACATGTTTATTTTCGCGCAGTCATTGGTGAGTGGACTGAGACCATGGACCACCACCAACTCATTACACTTTGAGGACCTGGTTGACCAAACAGGCAGCTGCCTGGATTTGAACCCACAGATCTCAGCGGTGCCCCCTCGGTGCTTTACGGCTGCGACGCATGCGACAGGAAACCTGCATTCTGGAGAAAATGCATCGTAAAGTAAGGTTAAATTAATTCCCATATTGCGCTCCACATTGCAGTGGTGGAAGGACATTTTTTGGTTCATTCAAAGTATTGTCACCGTCCAAATGTTCGCTGCTTGTTTCAAGGGTTTCTCAGTACAATTCCGGCAGGACACCCCGGTTTATACTGCAGGTGTATTTACTGTAAACACACTGCACATGTTTCACAGGGGACCATTACAGATCGAGTGACGTCATTTGAGATGTGTAGGCCGTTGCGCCAAATTAGGAAATATATATCGGCAAATTACTCAATTTGGGGACCGCAGACTACAGTAAAACCTTGGATTGCGAGCATAATTCGTTCCGGAAACGTGTTTGTAATCCAAAGCACTCGTATATCAAAGCACTCGTATATCAGTTGTGATCACGTGACGCTCGGCAGACAAAGCGTATACGTACTGCTCGTATTGCAAGACCTCGCTCGTTTATCACAATACAGACGTGCTGATGAGTATTGCTCTCATTGTTTATCCTAAAGGTCCTAAGAGTGATGAAGATGCTGGTGCCAGAGAGAGCCGTGTGAAGCAAAAAATAAGTGATCGCCATCGTCAGTGAACCTTGTAATTTACTTCCCATTGAGTGCGAAGTTGAATCCGATGAAAAGCGGGCAAATCCCACTATTGGGGTCAAATTTTACACCCGGACGATGTGCACGTGAACTGTATAAACACGTGTGCATGCATATCCGTGTATCCGTGTTTGACACGTATCATATTTACATACATGCATGTGAACATTGAACATTCGTACGCTGAAGTAACAATCTAGGCAAGTGAGCACCTTCTGATGAGCACGGTTGGCTACGTACGGTGCAAAAGAAGTTCAAACATACGTACAGCAATGCAACACCCAAGGGTAAAATGAATAATACGTAAATAATACTTAAAGACAGGATGCGCTTTTATTGCCAATGAACATGAAACAAAATCCAAATTATACTTGTGTTTATGCTCTAAATTGGCAGTTATTGCCGTTCGGTGTCGCGTTTGCGGTCATTGCACACATTAAGAGAATCGGCAGCGAAATAACCCAATTAATATGCTTTTTGGATAAGGGTCTTATCCAGTTAGCAGCTTTAGGATTGAGAAACGTTGGCACACATTGCGGGAACGCCGCCAACTGCCTCTAACAGACTCAGAACGCGGGCTCCGGGCAACGGAATGCATTTCGTTTACTCTCCGAGCAAGATCAAGCCGCTTTAAATCAATGAACGCTCATGAAGCGCTTCATATACATTAGGGATATTTCCAGGCGTGGGGTTAATTAGTTCTGGATTTAAGCAGCGCGTAAGCTGCAAATGCCAACTGACGCATAATTAGGGCCTGCAGGTTTCTAAGACGAGGCTGTATGATGATCCAGGCTTCCTTGCACCAACGGTAATAATGTTTTAGCAATGCAGTCCCCCGAGTCCGACTCGATAAAGACAGATGCTATTTGTGCGTGCCTTGTTGGTGTTGTTGTCGGCTGGAGGGATAAAGGGGACAGCAAAGGGCAATTCGTGTCCATAGCCAAAAGTTCAAGGGCTGCTTAATCAGAATCTTTATTTATAACTGGAGGGAGAATCCGAACGAGCTACAAAGCTCTTTTTTCACAGATGTCCAGTCAGGGAAAGGGGGTCAGAAAGTTACGACAACACACAATACATCAAACAACCACGGCAGGGGTGCAAAGTCTAGGAAAGGTCATGAAAATCACTCAAAATAAAGACAATTAAACTAAACCATTTTTAATTTACCAGCTAAAGACCACCGAGCCATTCAGTCAGGTGGCTTAGCAGTAGACAGAGCGAGCCGCTCGCAATCGGAAGGGTACCAAAAGTTGAAATCCTCGGTGGGGGCTGGACAGAGCCCATCATATCTCCCCAAGGGTCGATAAAACGAGCATCACCTCGTGGGGGAAGTCAACAGCTTCCATTCACGGCACGTGCCCATGGTGCATCAGCGGTAGAGCGAGAGTGGCTCGCTATCGGAAATTTGTGAGTTCAAAATCCTGGTTTGGGAGTTGACAACCCACCATATAGCCCCCCGCCTCGCCATAGGAATGTGGAATTTCCACGACAGGCTCAGGGGCTGTAAACAAGAGATGAGGCACCACCGCAATGCTAAAATGTATCGTTTTAATGGGTGGCAGGTGGCCTCTAAGAGAACATGTGTTTGTTGTACTATATATATTTGTAGGATTCATTTATGTACATGCCAAAGGGCAAATGGTATGCGAAGGAAGCACGTGAGTGCTAGTTACGTTTTTTTCTCTCCCTTTCACCGACGCATAACAAATAAAACACAGCGCTTTCATTTAACCAAGGAAGGGCTCGCTGAGATTGATTCTCGATCGCGAAAGAACGAATTTGCATAAACACGGATATGGAGGGGCAGGCAATAATAGGAATTATTTTTTTTGTTATATATATAAAAAACATTTGGTTGTAGGTAATTTAAAACGTGCAAGTTCTAATGAGGACATAGACTATCAAATTGAGCTGAGCACATTCCTTTCGGGAAATGTGACTGATAATGGCCCTCCACCCTGCTACAGCCACTCGAGCGAAAGGTTTAGTAGACCAAGAGCCGATTGCTGATAACGTTGCCCGCAAAACACGAGGGGCTCGCATTAACATTCAGGCCGGAGCAGCGCACGGCAGTGTGAAGGCAGCAGCTCTCTTGAGTGGTGCTCATCGACACGCGAATGTGCCTGCGTTGAGCCTCTTTCGCACCGTACGTAGCCAACCATGCTAATCGGAGTTGGTTGGGGGTGGGGCGGAAGGATGGCAAAACTAAACACAAAAATAAGTTCCAAAGAAATTCGTTTTTCGATCCAGATTTAAAAGTGTCGGTAGGAAGAGCGTTGCAGAAGGCCGCAGAAGGGCATCTGAAAGCGTGCGATGCAGTGAGCCCGTCTTTGTTCGTTGTGACGAATGTCTTCGTAGCAGCGGTTGTGGCGTTGTATTACGAACGGGTGAGCCCGTTCTTGCCAAAGTGCCACGCAACGCACGCGACGTTATATAACATGGCTCTAATCAGATTGATACATCCTCGCTGCGATGGCTTTACAGCATAACCGAAAGGACTCTGTTGAATATGGAACACTGAACGAAAGCACAATTACCAAACTGCAAGGAAAGCACTCTTCAAATCTAAAGCACTCTAATCGCGTTCCCACTTTGAGCTGACATCACCGCGCGACTGACGCCGCGTAATAAAGAGGCAAACGGGCGCAGGATCGAGCTCCTTCGGAAACCTGAAAGCTACCATGAAAAGTAACGTGCCTCGTGAAGAGCGTTTTCAATCAGCGCGTGTTACTCAATGAAGGCACGGGAATCAGAAACACGGGTGCTTACAAGAGCAAGTTGAACAAAATCTGAAGTGTGCAGAGAAGCAGAATGACACAGAGGCAGAAAGAGGAACGCGTGGAGCAGGGAACAATTAAAAGCCAGAGGCATAATTTGGACTCTTAAGAAAAGTGGTATTTGACTGGTGATGGAATGCAAAAGGAGGTAGAGCACTGAGATCAGGTAACGTGCAGAAGTGAGATGAATTGTGGCATCTCAGCACCACGAGGGATGATGGCAGCACGGGGAGGCTTTCATCCAGCAGTGGATAGACAATGGCTGATGATGGGGGTGATGAGGGATGCCACATAATATATCCATTGTTTCCTTCCAACGAATGTTTCCCTCGCTTGTAAATAAACAGGCGAGTTTAGTGAAATCCTGATTCGTTAATCGCACTTCACATACTTCCATTAAAATTCCTAATGGGAATGAACTTCAAGAAATGTTTAGCAGAACTGCGTAAAGAAGTTGGGGGGGGGGGGGGCGGAAGGACAACAAGTTCGCTAAACCATTGTGAAATTATCTGTAAGAGGAACACAGCTGGAAAATATAGCAGAGCATTGTCTACCTGGGACACTCCATTGAAGGTGGACCTGATATCTGTGAAAAAGAGCTTCATAGCTCATCAGATTCCTGCAGTCTAAAGAAAAAATCTGATTCTTCTGATAACGATTCTGAACAGGATGAAATGAAGAGGACACTGCACGATTTGGTTGTGACCACAGCACAGCCGGACGTGCGATTGTTTTGCAAAGGGGACATTGTAATAAACAAATGACTGGCAGTGGATGGAGCAATAAACAGATTTGATCAGTTTTGTTGCCAGAAAAAAGGGGAAAAACCCTATTATTACATTTTGGTACTGGCAAAGGAGGTCTAATGATGTAGATGCTCACCCCGAGCCCTCATTACTTTGATAGTGCATTGTCTTTGAGCTGTGTGACGCCTTCTGGCGTCATGTGGTCGAGCACCAATTGGGTCGAGGCTCAAAAGAAAGCCGTCCCTTGGTGTGGACCAATCAGTTTCAAGGACAATGCATATATTATCATAGTATGTTTTTCTTTGCATTTTGACTGCAGGTATTGTGGTTAATGCAGACATAAATCCTCGTAAAAAAGGTTTCAGTTTTGTTGCCAGAAAAAAGGGGAAAACCCTATTATTATAAACAGATTTGACTTCAGCAAAACATGTCAATGTATGGTAAGCCTCACCTTATAGAGTTGTTTGTTCACTAGCACGGGCAGGGTGCTCGCCGTGATGTCCACCTTTGGTGCCGCTGGAGGAGAACAAGGAGAGAGGCATCGCGTTCAATATGTAAATAATCACGGCCATGAGCCACACACCAAGTCCTCATGAGAGGAAAGCCTCCCAAAAGCTTCTGCAGAAGACATCATTAAAACATTTTTTGTTTAAAACGAAACGATAAACTATTTTTTTTATTTTACCAGGTATGGCCTACTTGAGCTACTGTATGTAGCTCTTTTGCAGAAGCGATCTTGCCACAAATGATAGCTCAGCCAAGTGGTTTATCGTTGTGGAAATTTATAGCAGCCAAATACTCGAAACGCATGTTTTTGAATGTAGAGTGAAAAGCCTCATGATGTATCACAGTCCAGAGACGTGGCTGTCATTATTATTAATTGTTGATATTTGCTATTATAAAAGGAATGGAACGAGTCTGAGAGGACGTTAAACCGAGGAGACGGAGTGATGAAATCAGTTCCTGTGCAGGTGCAAGCCGAATCATTGCATCACAGAATCGTGAAAAATTGCGGCGGATTGGGGGAGGCCTTCATCCAGCAGTGGATTAAACATGGTTGGTAATGCAAGGGTTAGAGCCATTAGTGGTTAGAGCACTGCACTGCGAACCAAGCGACAAGAGTTACATTCCTAGCAAAAGCTGTCATGAGTAGCGAGTGATGTTTGAATGGGACCTACTCCCCTTCACCAACGAATGACGACGAGAATGGTGAAGTATGGTAAAACAACCTCAGTGGCACCGACATGGAATGGGAAGGTCTTCATCCAGTAGTGGATAGACAAATACAATTATTACAAAATGTTGAGTTCTTTATGACATTATTCAAGTCAACATGTGCATCCACACACGTTAGCTTAGCTGTGTGCTTATGAAGGCCACTGGGTAGCAATGTGGTTAGTACATTAGTCTCACAATTGAAGGTCGTAGAGTTGAAATCCACTCCTCTGGAATGCATATGTAGGGGAGTAGTGGGTGACGTCACGTCACGCTCGCCCTCGGAGAGTGGCGTCGCAGAATGTGACGTCAGGCGGACCCTGGGGGGACGGTGACGTCATGCCCCAGGGGGGTATTTAAAGGGGGACCCGGGGATGTAACAGGGTTCGTCGGGGGTAGGAGTGGGGACTCAGGGGAGCTGATCCTCACCCGAGGCTAGGGGAGGCCACTCCGCCCGACGGGCCGAGGTTGGGGTTGAATCTGGGTACCCCTGTCCCCTGGGGAGTTATCGCTAGGGGGGTGGGTAGGCGTAAGCCCCTAATAAACGTGGCGTGAGCCCCTAACAGCAACCTGCCTCGGAGTCGTCATTTACGCCACAACACATACAAGAATGTCCACTTCCTGGGGAGACTTCTATTAGCAATGTAAAGAATTACTGCAATGAAGGCCTTTATACAAAAAAAGGTGACATTTAAACGTGACAGCCCTGTGTGATTTTCTCCAGGTGTAACGTAGCAGTTATTCCATTCCCCGTTTGACTATGGCTAAGAGTCCCTCGCGTTTTTACCAAGGGCAAATATATTCTACTACATCGCTAGCCCTATATATCTGATGCACTGACCCCAGCGACGGGCAGGAAGAATTTCCGCCACTGGTTGAAGACCACCAGCACGTACGAGTGCCAGGTGATTTGTCATTTTCTCTCCGCACGGAGGCACTTTGACTTTGGTTACTCATATCTGCTTCCTTGTCTAAATATATGCTGCACTATGGTTGCGTTTAAGATTCCATTTTTTTTCCATCCCCTTCGAATATTGGATTGTTGAATGTTTAGGCCACAAATGTGTTTCATTTGTTTTTCAGATTTGCATTTACTACATTTTCCTAACTTACATATTGGATGCACACAATTTAACAATTTGATGAATGTTAAATATTTATAATTGAATTAACAGTTTCCATCGGTAAAACTATTATTTTAATGTAACCGTTTTAACATTTCTATTCATCAACATGACCCTGGGGGGGTGTGGGGTGGTCAGGGGAGAGCAGAAATGACATCGTGGAAGTGACATCGTGGAAGTGACATCATTCCTGTGACGTCACATTTTCGTATAAATCACAATGGGTTGCAAAATTGTAAAATGTGTTGCAAAATGCGTGACATAATTCACGGTATGAATGAGTGATGTCAATTACAGTGGTGCTCTTCGTGAGCTCGTCAATGTAACTGAGACAATAAGAGACATAGACAACTCGGCCCCTCTCCGGATGATTTGAAATTTCACACCTAGGCCTGATTTTCAGATTTTTCTGACGAATAAAAAAAAATCTGGAACACATCTCTAACATACATGATGTATTATATTAGGTTTTTCATCGTATACCCTATTACAAAATATATATGTCCCCCGTGTATAGCTTTAACAAACTTTTTGGGCAAATGCTGTTAGCGGCTAACTATGAAGGTTGGTACGGCACACAAGGGGGTGGGTGGCCAACACCACGCCCGGCCTCCGTTGTCTCCCAAGTAGCGATGTTTATTGACTGCACCCAGGTACTCATTTGAGGCTGAGTCGACCTAGGGGAGGCCCAGGACCGGTTCAGATAATCATCATCATCACTGTTTTTGGCCGAACTCGAGCAGCCGGGTTCGTAGCGCAGCTCGCTAACCGCTACACTACCGCTCCAGTAAACGTAGTCTACGTCCGTTCTTGTTAATATTTCTGCACGCTTCTACATTATTCGAAGGCTTGCATAAGCAGCCCGGGCCACAGGTGGCGAGAGGGGACGTGTGGGGACATGCGAAGGCGCTCACTTACAAAACACCTTGACGCTGGCTGTCGCCTCTCCCACGCCCGCCGGCCCCGCCGACACCTGGCAGATGAAATCGCGCTCGTCCATGGCCATCGTCGTGTTGAGCATCAGGGTGAAATCGGTGCCTTTGTTGATGCGGTCCGAGTAGTCGGTGCCATCGTCGATCAGGAACTCGTTCATGTCCTTGTAGATGATCCTCAGCCGGGTCAATTTCGAAATCTGCACGACGGTCAACCAGAAAGCGATGTTTCATCAACATCGTCGCCATCGGCCATGATCAGGGGTCGGGAACCTGCGGCTGCATAGCTGCGTGTGGCTCTTTCAGTGACCGCTTCGTGACGTCATTTATGAAAGACCCCCAACCGTGTCTCGTATTCATGCACGTTGCGGCCCTTGAAATATTGAGTTGTTGTTTTCACCGAATTCCAAATAAATGGCTCCTCTTGTTCTTTTGGTTGCCAATCCCTGGACATAGTCAATCACAGAGCCGTGTTTTTATTATAATACAGCTGCGGTAGCATCGTGGTTAGAGTGCTCGGCTCACAATTGGAAGATGTACAGTTGAAATGTAAATGAACCACACAGTATTTCTGGAGCCCTTCGTCAATTGTGTGCTGCGTGAACGTCTTCCCAAGTCACGCTGGTCATGGGGGTGGAGGTTGGTGTTTAACTATACTTCACCACAACATGCCAGGGTGTACTACGACAAGTAATTAAACCAGGCTTGCCAGGATCGTGGCAGCCCGTGCTCACTAAACGTTTCTCCGTGCCTGCCCACAGGGTGGCATGCCCCGTGCCACATGCGTCCAACCCCCCGATTTTCCAGCGAGGCCCTGCTGCTCTGCCGTTTGTGAAGCCAGCTGCCCCTAGGCCTCAACCTCCTGTGCACTTGGCGCTCATTCAAACACACACACACACACGCACGTACGCATGCACGCGCACGCACGTGCTTGAGGCTGTTTTTGGGCATGCCGCGGGCATTTGCGGGGGAGATAAATCTAAAAGAGTGCTGCGGCATAAACAGGCCGTGAAATAAATACGTTGAGGCGAACAGCGCGTGCTGCCGCAGGTGGACACGCGTCGTTGGGAGTGAGGTGGCGTATAGGACAGGGCCAGGGAAGACGATGTGGCCACTCGCTCCACACAAGTGGAACGCGAGGAGCAGCCCAGATTGTGACCATGGCCGCCACCCCAAGTCAAACGATCGCCCTCGAACTCCCGCTCTGAGAACTGAGAGAGCTCCGTACCCGGTGGCATTGCGACCATTCACTCTGCCTCGCCTGAAGCTGTCGAATGAATCAGGAATCTCGACGTCAAACTACAACGGCTTCCCCAGCCATACGAAGAAGAATAAGTAGTAGGAGGAGGAGAAGGAGCGTCGTGTTTGAAATCAGACAATTACTTCAAAGAAGATCAAAACACCGTCCCGTCCCCTCAAAGAACAACATTCCTGATAACGTCAACGCTCTTTATATATTTACCTGGTTATTCAAAGTTGAGACTTACTTAAATGAAGTCTTTATATAACAATAGGTGAGTGGCAGGTGGCATATTGTATTTTTTTCCTTACCAGCAATATATCAAGATAAATATTCTAGGTGGCATAATGCAGCAGCATTTAATTATTAATTTGACCATGACCACAGCGCTGTTGTGATTTACCAAGGGCAAATATATTGCATACTGCTAGGCCCGTGGCAGGCGTGCAAGCTCTCTTTGGTTCAGAGCCAAATTCACAATCCGCTTGGGCCAAAAACAAAACGCATGACTTCCAAAAATATGTTGTCCCCCCCACAGCGGGTGTATCGTGTGGCACTCCGGCCGCACAAAGTGCACGAGTTGTTTCTCCAAAATGTCGTGCAAAAAGGAAATGTGTACGTGACTCACTGACAGGGGGTGGGGTAAAGGCACAATCACAATGAGTGCAAAATTGTATAGAATGTGTTGTAAAAATGCGTCACATCATTGACGGTATGAATGAATGATGTAAATGATAATGGTGCTCTTCATGAGCTCGTCGATGTAATTGAGACAGTAACACGCAAAGACAACTATCCCCTGTGTAGCCTTGTACAGGATGTTGGGGCAAGTGCTGCTGGGCAGCACCTGCTAAGATCAACACGGTGCACAAGGGAGCGGTGTGGTGAGCACCGCGCTCAGCTGTCTTTGTCTCCCCCAGTGCCGATGTCATGACACCGTTTGCGGCCAGAGTTGACCTCAGGAAGGCGCAGGACAGGTTCAGATATTCAACAACTGATGTCAGCCGTGAGTGCTGGGTCCGTTATCACTACACGACCGTTCCCCGCAAATACATCTGCATACACATATACAATGTTCCCCTGTATAGCCTCAACAGACTGTTGGGAAAAGTGCAGTTAGCGAGCACCTATAAAGGCCAGCATGACAGCCGAAGGGGTGGGTGGCCAGTGTCACGCCTGGCTGCCCATGTCTCCCAGTGGTGAGGCTGAGTCACACTTACATGGATGGATGGATACACAGCAATGCATAGCAGCATGCCCACGTGCTGTCCCAATGCACACAATGATTTATCCAAACAGAGGTGATAAACATTTACGTATGCATGTATGTACGTATGTTGAACTTATTTTGCACCATACGTAGCCAACTGTGATAATCGGAGGTGCTTGGGGAAATGAAAATCAGAAGTGCGGGGTACTCACGATGAACCATTGCACGTTCACAGCATTGCCGATGGATGGTTTGTATGTGCAGGGGATCTCCAGAGGCTTTCCCAGTTCCACCTCGACAAGCGGGCTCACGTTGACGGTGATTGCTGCCAGAGTGCCTGGAACAACGGAAGGGGGGAGACGAGGCTGTTAATTGGCGCATCGTGAACGTGAACGCAAAGCCACTGGCGTATTGTAAGGGGCGGCAAAGAAAGATACCGGAGAATCGGGACACTGTGCGCAATAATATCAGGACCATATTTTTAAACTCCCATCGTACGGCGGCGGTCGTGTGGGCGTTAACGGCGCCTGATGTTTTGATGACGCGAATTCATACACGGGGCACAAATATCCCTGCGTGCACAATTGTGCAACACTGGCCCGAGATGAAAATGCTGCAATTTCAAATAATGTCACAGAAGGCAATCTAATCAAACCCAATTAATGTAAAATTTCACTTCAGTGGACGCACACACCTGTCCACACACGAATGAAGATGCCGTGGGGCAGGCAGAATGGCAGGCAGGGTAACACCAAACAAACTCAAAAAGTGATTTAATGCTCAAATAAACAGAGGCGGCGCTCATCTACTATTCACAGATCTGAGCCAGTGGTGGAAATTCCACCTCCCTATGGCGGCGGTGGCAGATTCATTCATAGGACAACCACCGCAGGGCCGAGTTCACGTCCAATTGCATTTTTAAACTCGAAACATTTTTCGATCGCGGGGCCCCTCACTCTACCGCTGAGTCACCTAGCCGGATACACAGCGCGCACACACACACAACGTAATGCAGTGAATCACACCGTGCGTTGGTGCCCCGCCAGCTTGCATTCACAACGTCGAAACTGCCCGCAATTTCACGCATAATTGATAGTAAATGTTCGCGCGATGAATTAAGATATATGTTGCCCAGACCGGCATGTGGTAATGACCAATGCCCCCCCCCCCCCCATCTCTCTGCCTGCATTGCTCGCGCGTTTGGCTACTAAAGGGAATTTTTACAATACAGCACGCTTCGGGGAAATGAAAGCAAGAAAGAGAGAAAGATTGTGCCATATCTCACAATGACGAGGGTATGACCTTATACCGTAGAAGCATAAAATATATATATAAAAAATACTATTTCTGCAGCTGAATGACGTTGAGAAGAGACAAAGAGAGTAGAAATGCTTAGAAGGGCATTGAAGATGCGGCCAGGACAAGGCAGAAGAAACAGAGGGAGACTGCGGAAGAGAGGATGGCAGGATGGGGTGGAACGAGATATGAGGACAGTTGATGTCACTCGAGAAGAGACACAAAATAGAGATACTGTACACGGAGAAATCAAATCTGAGCACCCGAGCCAATGCAATAATGGGAATGGTGGCTTAGAAGAAGACATGGCTGAATGGTCTGTGGCAAGGGAAAAAAAAGCACATAATTGCATTTCCCTACAACAATTCACGTGTTGCAATATTTACAAAAGACACATGAGTGACGTTCTTGGACATTCGTCTTTAATATGTTAAACGTATCTAAATATGTTTAATATGTCTCACTAATTAACCCAGGTATTTCATTTATTCAGACAATATATGCAGTAAATACCGAGCACTGCCACTCTCAGTAAACCAGAGAGCCCTCTGATGCCTCGGCCAAGACCTCTCCCTCTCTCTTGTGGTTTACACTTAAACAAAAAAAGTAATTGCCGTGAATTCAATAACATGTTTTATTTTAATTAGTTATCCACAAATACACTGCTGTTTGCTTTTACTGCAATCAACCTGACAGAGAATCTGAGCCTTCTACACCCAATGAACCAGACATCCACCACCGCTTGATGCCGGTGGGAAGGGAGTCGGATGGACCTGCACAGTCACAATTTCACACATTTCGGTCGTTAATTGCACTTACAATACTGGGCCAACTTTCCATGTTTAATTGGTACGTGTGAGATTTCTTTATATGTAGCAATAGAAGCATTTATTAGCAGAGCGCACAAGTGTTGTCATCACATCTACGTCTCTGTTTAAGGAACGAAACAGGAGGGCTTCTCCACAAATCTGGCTGTCGCCTGATGCAGCTGGTTGTAATTACTGGCGAAACGTCGTACTCAAGATTGTAAGTGTCGTGGCTTGGCTCTCCAAACACACCGCTGTTGCTGTACTAGTGACGAATTGGCCACGTTCTGTTTACGTGCCAAACCTTTACTAATTGGCTGTGTCAGGTGGTGGCGGGTTCAACGACACATTTATATTTACGCGATCTAACCTAAAAAACCTGTGTTGTGGAAGTTATTTATTTATTTGCTTGCTCATACCGCACATGCCCCACAAGTGGAAAGTCTCTCCCCCATAATTACTCTGGCTTCGAGAAGTTTTGCTCAAACTCACTCCTTCCTCTCTCTGCTTCCACTTCACACAGAACTGACCACACAACGCCGCATTGCATATTAGCCTAGACATAATAAAACAACGTGTAAATGTGTTCTATATCAAGGCTGTCACTTGACATCAATGAAATGAGTTCTGGATTGAACATAGACCCGCAGTTAACATATTTATTTCCTTATCTAAAACCCCGCTTACAATCTCCGCCCTCTAGCGAGGCAACGCTGTCTCACACACTCAGCTCTCTAATCCATTTCTCTGTTTTAACACCGACGCTCTCACATGCCCAACGATTTATATATATCCGCTTCCCATACCTACGTGCTCATGCATTGCATTTGCACGACTATCATTTTTACTCCAGGGGCCATGGAAGCTAAAGCCAGTCCACATGTTTACCTTGACCCGGTTCCATACTTTAGTTAGATTATAACAAAAAGCTAGATGGTTATATGAATAAAAAATGGTCATCATCATCATCATCGGCTATGGTCAATCCATTCCTGGATAAAGGCCTCACAATGCTCCACCTCCTCCATGGCATCCTCTCCGGCGTGTCCCATCCCTTCGCTGCCATTCCGATATCGCTCTTGACCCTCGTCCCTTCTAGCGACATGCCCTGTGCCCATGCCCGATTACTTTTTTTTTCCGTAAGCAGTTTGGATGATGGCATTCACCTGCATGCGTTCTCTCGGACATGTGTTCTAAGAAAGAGAATAGATTTGACCCTTTCTGGCAATAAAAAAAAGGTGTTAAGATGTTCAAACACCGAATAAATGCCTTTTTAAAGGCATCGAGTCTGCATCAACCACACGTGCTTGTGGCAAAACATGCAAACAAACATGCTCTGATAACATATGCATTGTCTTTGAGGCTGATCAGCCTACACCAGAGACAGCCTTCTTTGTGGCCCAGTCGCAAAAGTGTCAGACCAGAGAACACCAAAAGGCGAATAGCACGAAGACAATGCAAGTATCGGAACACATATCTCGCGTCGAGCGGTTATAGCTACGGGGACTTTTTGCCAGTGACTGGCGACCTTTATTTTGGCAAAAAGGGTCTTCGCGCACTGCGAAAAATAATCGTTGTTCTGTGTTCCGTGTTGACGACCTCGTTTCTGAATGCCACCCCCAAACAAATGATGGTCCAGCCAACAACGATACGTGGTCCTAAATGCTGCAACACACAATGCAACCGGCGCAGACTACGGATAAGTTTGCAGGGCTCGAGAATCACGGGTCGCATTCATTCCGGTATGTGTGTAATTTATTACCTGCGCGTGTTTATGACCACAGTGGATCCGCACTTCAAAAAAAAGAACCAAATCAAAAAATCAATGCCCCAACTCGTTTTCAGCATTTGAGTACCCAAAGGTGTTCGCTAATTCTGGCTTGGCAGGATGAGTGGCATTTTTTGTTTTACCGTATATATATAAAAAAATAAATTTGACTGCTTCACATGGGGAGGGGCACATTTATTTAAATTAGTAAAAACATTTCCCCTTGGATAATCCCTTGAGATGGAACGTCTGATTTGCAAGGTGAGTCCAGAGGTGTCAAGTGACATGTATGTAGCAAACACGTCATCACACGCGTAGAGACATGTCAATTTTCTTAACTTATACAGGTCCCGAAGATATCACTGCTAGACCCCGAACAATAAAGGCTCCGATACTTGCATTGTCTTTGCGTTGTTTGCCTTTTGGATTATCTGGTCTAAAATCGATGAGACTAGGCCATAAAGAAGTCTGTCTCTGGTGTAGGACAATCAGTTTCAAAGACAATGCACATAGTCAATATTATCCATAATAACAATTATAAATTGAAATTGTCGGGGGCTTTATTCTCCAACACACCGGTGTGCTGAACTAGTAACGAATTGGCAGGTTTTGTTTACGTGACAAACCTTACTAAGTGGCTGTGTCGGGTGGTGGCGGGTTTAACGACACACATTTATATTCATGCGATCTAACCCCAAAAAAACTCGATTATTGATGCATATATTATCAGACTTTGTTTGCATGGTGTTCCACGAGTATATGTGGTTAATGCAGACCCGATGCCTTGAAAAAGGTATCATACCTTTCAATGCATCGAATGATAATTCATGACAATATATGCATCCAATGCATGTATGCATTTAACGTCGTACTTGGTGAAGCACACACACACGTATATATATACAGGGGCAGAGCCAGGGGGGGGGGGGGTGACAGGAGTGACATTCTGAGTATAAGTGTACGACACTCGGTCTGGCGGAACTCCGAGCAACTGCATTGTCAGAGTGTGTCGCCAACCGATGGCGTCTAGTTCAACAGCCTGACTCTCTAATCATTCTTGAAATAAAAATTAGTTGAATGTCACCCCGGCCTCAAATCCTGGCTCCGCCCCTGTATATATAAATAAATAATGCGGTTCACGCAGAACGCTGAAATCCTTAAACGCGTGCATCTCGCAAACTTGCCTTCATCCAAAATGATTGCACGCCCATTGAACAAATTACGTCACTGTTGTCGTCGAAAATCTGCACATACACGCGCAGATTTACATTCGATGCCTCTTACGAGCACAAAAAGCTTCGCGTGATAATGTGGGCGATGGGAATTAGGGCACTTTGCAGGAAGGCTTCGCGTGAAATCAGCCGACACGACACGCAGTGCTTCGCGTGCTTCAAGTGCAGATGGTTTCACATCTGATCGGTATTCATTTGATGCGTCAACAACTAAACCTGTTGCCTACCATAGCTT